GACACCATCCCTATATCTTGTGTTATTGTCACAACCAATCTCGCCCTGCTGACATTTTCCTCCCCTAATGGGAAAGAACCGCGCTTGCCGTCTCCGTCATTTCCACTCTGCAACAGTTTACCTTGAAGTAAAGTTTAATATCAGACAAAGATATAGGGATGGTGTCATGTAGCTTTGTGCATCTTTGCTGTGTAATGACCCCTTGTTTCTTCCTTTTTGGTGCTTCAAGCCATCCCTATATCCCCCTTTCATTTTGAAGAAATGATTTTTCCACTTGTATATATACTGCATGTCTCAACAACTTGGTAGCGAGGTAGAAAGGTAAGGCTAGGCAAACAAGTCAACTACACCCAGGACAGCTCCTTCTTTTAAAAGAAAAGAAGAAGAGCTGCCCTGGGTGGGATTCGAACCGACGACACTCTGCAGTCTAGGCGAGTGCTCTACCAACTGAGCTACCAGGGCAACTCAGCTGGTAGGGGCTCGAATCTACAACACAACACAAGGCAAACCTCGTGCTATGGCACAGACGTATACATACCTGTTCGTAGTTGACTTTCTGGTTGTTCCAGAGATCCTGGGCAGCCATTCTCTCCCTCTCTCCCTCGTCCAGCCTCAACTGCAGCTCGATTATCTTTATCTCCAGACCTTTGTTGAGACCCTGGAGATGGGTCACCGACCTCGCCTCCATCTGAAAAGAAAGAAGACGAGACGGAGAGAAAATGGAGGAGGAATATTATTGCTCTACAAGGAGAAACTTAATTATCTGGGTGGGATTCCTATCCACCACACTCTACCGTCTAAAGTCTTCACCTATACCTGAGCTGAGCCCCTTGAAAACTGTTTTTGGCAACTATAGAATATTCAGAACTTCCAGTTCTAATGAAACCTTACCAGTGAAATGTTCGCTGAGTTAACCCAAAGTACAGTGTCGGGCATGTGTACAAACAATAACACAATGACTTTTCAGGGACTCAGGTGGACTGGAATAGACTTTAGGTAGATCTCCCTACTACCCGTGATACTCAGCATGTACAGACACACAAAAGGAGTGACTGTGACAGTGCATTACCTTGAGTCTCCTTCTCTCTCTCCTGGCGGCCCATCTCCTGACACAGCACTGTGTGAAGATGATCCTCTGAACGGTTCGCTCATAGTGGACCCGAGCCAACCAGCCACGGACATACTTCTGTAGAACAACCGCCTTCTGGTCATAGAGCAGGGCCACACAGCGCTGGGTGGGGAATAAGAGAATACAGCCATTTAAATGGCTTCTAAAACACAACAGTGCATACCAGGCATTCCTATCCTCGGAATGAAGAGAGATGTGTCAATACATATCAACTACAACATGAACACCCACTTCCCTTGGTGGGATTTGAACCCATTTCACTCCACTATATAAACAGAGCCTATCAAGCTTTGCATCGTACTGCAGGAAAGCTTAGCAGGCTGCTGGTGCCTAAAATCAGCAATCACAAACCCCAAATACTCTTTGTTATGGCACAGAACACCATTACTTAGTAATACTTAATAAAGGGTAATAAACCACAAAACACTGCACATTCACACGGATTATGTGAATAAACACATGTATACATGTACATACGTACCTTTCTGGCCTGTCTTCCTCTGAAGAGAGCCTGAGTGGTGATGGCGGCATTCCTGAGTCTCTGGTACTGTAGTCTGGTCACCAGACCTCTGGTGTGTCTCTGGAGGCATACCACTGCTCTCGTCCTCCTCAGAGTCTCTGCCAGTCTGTGTGTGTGGATGGATGGAGGAAACATAGAGTATGGTGGGAGGGATTTATTTACTGCACATGACTGCAAGCAAGTACATACAGAAAGGGGGGGTGATAGATACGTACATCGTTCATAAATATTCAGTGTGCATGGCACCACATGTGCAGAAGTTAAAAACATTGTGTATACATGTGTTTTATGACGGAAAATGAATGTCTGCGTTCGATCATAGCCAATCACACACAGTATACTGCTAAGTTCACACGTCTAGTAACAGTAACTTAGAAATAGGCAAAACCTTTCTCTGTGAAATTACTCTTGAGTTGCAAGAAAATGGCTGATGAAAATTCTACACATTTTAGTTATCACTCTCACCTCCTAGCCAGGAGACCTCTGACCCTGGCCTGAGTGAGAATGGTGGCGGCTCTGAGTCTCCTGTACCAGGCCCGCCTCAGCCAGCCCCTGACACGTCTCTGGACACACAGACTGGCAGAGTGGAGTCTCTGTGACCTCAGTCTCTCCAGGTAGGCCACCTGACCTGCTCTGAAGAATAGCTTTGTCTTTCCAAACCTGTACTGGCTGGAGTCCTACCGGGGGGCAGAGGGGCTAAAGTAAAGTTTTATCAGGTAATGCAGAGGAGCGTATATACGTACATGTATAGTACTTATGCTGGCAGGGCAATGCAGGGAACCAGCAAGAATTAGCTTCTATGGTAGGGTGTAGGATTGGGCAACAAACTTTAAAGTTAGAGTGGATGTGTAAGAATTCATCAGGACCATCAGTAGAGCAATCAGAATAAATATTCGTTGCAAAATATTACTGATACACAGTGTACTGTGTAAACTGATGATAATTGAGATTGCAAGAAACTGGGTCTGCGTTCGAACAAACAGGACATACGTGTATGTTCCTGCAAGAACTGTAGGCTGAATAAAAATCAGACAACAAAAAGCGATGATATAAAGTTATTGCTCAACAGACTTGTGGAACCACTCCCTGTGTATAATGCCCGCTAAGCAGTATATATATATAGCCATGTATACTTTTAACAAAATCATGGCCATAATTACCATAAAAGGAGGGCCAACTGTCATGTGATTATGATGCAAGATCCTATCGGTAATGCAACTAATACGTCCAGATTGTCATAAAAAGCAGTTGGTCAAGGAGAACTCTGCATTGAACACTAAGACTAGAAACAATCAAACACGAGTTTCAGTTACTTACTCCAGTTACTGAGAATAACTTTGAAGGCTGCAACAATGGCATCTACCCAACAAAAGAAGAAAAGTCTTTATTTACAACGACAGATAGAGAGACGAGAGAAATTCCTTCAGTCTCAGGGGGCAGCACAGGAACCGAAGCATAATGTGCAGATTGCTCCAGAAGTTGTGAATCCTCCACTGAGGCAAACTGGACACCCTTCTCACAAAAACCGTTTGACAAAAAAAACAGGGCCTCAGCAATCACATTTGTCTCAAGAAAAAACACTAAATCCAGACAATTTGCAAGGTGTTGGTGTTTTGTTACCTTGTGTGTCCGAGAAGTTGCCAAAGCCTAAGGCTCCGCAAGGAGGCGTTGGTGCATTAGTGTCAAATGACAGAGTCAAAAAGAATGGGGCCCTACAAGGTCCGCAAGTTAGTTCCTCTGTTCAGGAGGAAGGAAAAGGAGTGCCAGCACTAGGTTTGTCACTCTCCTACGTGACAAACGCAGCTACAGGGTACAACAAGAAAAATCCTGACGACAATGACACCACCACAAAAACTCAAGGTCAACTAGCCAAGAAGGCTACACAGCCACGCTGCTCGCCAAAGCTTGGGGCCCAGCCAGGAGAAAAAGTTAGCTCCCCCATTCAGGAGGAAGGAAGAGGGGAGCAAGTATTCGGTTTAACGCTCCCCAACACAACTAACACAGCTACACTTTGTAACAAGAGTCTACTCTCGCCAACTTCAGGGAAACTGGATGTCAACCACCAACAAAAGATCACAGAAGCAAAGAGGACTACACAGCCACACAGCTCGCAAAAGCTTGGGGCCCCACAAGGAGAACAAGTTAGTTCCCCCATTCAGGAAGAAGGGGAAGGGCACCAGGCATCGGGTTTCCCACTCCCCCACTCAATGCAAACTAAACCAGGGGATAAAAACCACGGGAAAAACTCAAAAGCTCTGTCATCAAGTTCACCAGTCAACGACATGGAGCCAAGACCCACCTCACTACAGCCATGCATTAAAATATTTAAAGAATTCAAAGAAATGGACTCTAACTCTCCTTCACATTCACCTCCAGAGGAATCACAGTTCTCAACTCTTTTATAATTTTAATGTATAACCAAAAACTATTCCTGTACCAGTGTGGATGATGTACAGTATTGTACAGCAGAAAAAGTTTTAAGGAATTCCATATAGGCATTAAAGCGTGTGAGCGCAAGTACACTGCATGCACTTGCGGGAATATTAAACATGCATGTGTCAGTAACCGTGTACAATACAGTACTTACGAGCATGTATGGAATACAGTCAACAATGAGGTAACAGGTAGAAAGGCAAGGCAAAGCAGCACAGAAGTACTACTTAGCGATCGACTCACAGTCAAGCTACCCACTTTCTCTCTCATAATTATGGCATAATTGTACAGTAACGTAGAGTAAGTATTTTTGTGGGGGTGATACTTAGTGTAGACCACAAGACAAGGAAATATGGCTAGGCATGTCGCAGCCAGAAGATGGGCGGGTCATCTACATACTTTTTCCATGATTATAGTGCATGTTTAAGCAAGAAAGAGGTCACAAGACTTTTCTTGATGGAGAATCATAGCCATGAATTTTTATTTTCATAGTCATGAGGATGATGCAAGATCAATGTAGAATGCAAGACACTGCTTATATAGCCAAACACAACTCTCCATCGAAGAAAGACAGCTTAAACATTCCAAAGAGAGCTTAAACTCTATTCTTACATGTCCACCAACGGAAAACAGCTACGAGAAACTCTCCCTAGGATCCAAGACTCAGGGTACATTTCTTCCATAGAACCTGTTTGCATGATCTTGCCATTTATCTGTTTTCTAAGCACCTGTGGTGGTCTCCTCACTACCACCCACCGGGCCTTTCTCTACCGGACCTTAACCCACCACCACCAAAACTCAATTTGAAAAGGCAGTGTGAGTCGTTGCTACAGAATCTAGTCAACCAGACAAGAGTGAACCTGTTTTTGACCTCAAGCTCAGTTAATACTTCATTCTTACACAAACCTACTTTGCCACTGAAGATACAAACAATGCTTATGGCTGCCATCGCTGAATAATATAGGCTTGTTGCATTTATCGTGCATTGTACGGTATAAAGATGGTCACTACATAATATGTACACCTACGTACCTACATAATTATCTTAGACTTGGTTGACAATACACATCCAGCCTTTGTGTCACCTGGCAATAACTACGTATGCTAGATAAACAGACCACGTCAGTAAATTAACATCATGATTATCATTATTGCATTTTTAAGTCGTTACTGCCTGTCGTCTCCCCTTTCAAAACATAGACCGCGTAAGTGTAAATACAATAAGAGAAGGCTTGTGACGAAAACCATTGTAAGGAATTGTACTTATAGCCACAATACCAGATTTGGAGTGAGTTCTGTAGACAAGTCAAGTCCACAGCTCAACAGGACTTGTAAGAACACCAGTTCAGCAGATGAACCTGTGTATAGTCATGGACAGAGGCAAAAGCCAAGCAGTCCTTCATCTGCCACCAGTGGTCCGCTCATCACGGAGAAGATACTCTGACTCAGAGCTGTTTGAGAGCTCCCACGCTCTACGACGACCCGCTTATTACCATCCTGATTTGAGCCCAGTACTAGGGAGCCGCACTTCATCCCTACATGAATTGCAGCAAGTTGAAGGAGAACCGAGCCCCACCCATTGAACTCTCTCAAGGAAGACCTCAGAAAACGGTGATATAAAGTTACCGAGTATATCACCCATGAGACTTGTGAAACTTTCAGCACCTACTGCTCCTACCAATGACACCACAGTTTTCCTGCTATCCGGAGACAAAGAAGACAGAGTACCGGACTTCTGTTCTCACCAGTTAACTCTCTCGCTGTATCACATAAACCAACAGTTTGCCGAGGAAGTGTACTGATTACATCGCCAATGAGTCCTACCGAGTGCCTTGGGGGTGAATGAGCCTCTGTTTTTCCTACCATCATCCAAAGTCGCTACAAAAACACTTGCTATCATCACCAGAGGAACTAAATTTGTATATACTGTCGCTAAACTCTGACTGACTCTGTGATTTAAAGCTGTTATGCTAAAAGGGGATGTGTATTTACCGAAACCAATTCCTGACAACCAAACTATAGGCACAAGTCTGGAATACAGATTATGATCTTCCTATTGAATGTTGGTATCATTCACTGACTTGATAATGTTGAGTGCACAATGATATTGTTGAGAGCGCAACTATGTAATAATCTCGGCAGAAGCCAGTGTAGCGATGAACCTGTTGGTTGTCTCGTTATACGTAGTAGCAGAAAACGTGGTAACAGACAGACATACAATTACAAATCAAGTACCATAACTCTCGCTGTGCATGTGCGCCGAGGGTATAATCGTGAATAAATGACTAGAATCATAGCCAGGCATGTGCTACTGTTGCATCATTCACCATGGGAGGTCTAGGCACATATGACACAAGTGCACTTTTCGTGTGAGATCATGGCAAGCTGTAAATACTCCAACTCGGTTTCCCTATCAAGTCCTGACAGGAGAAGGGTTTGATCTGAGACGGTAATGTTCAGACTCCACCAATCCAACAGCCAACTTGTTGTAGTCATGAGTTCAGTAATACATTATCACTACATCATGAATTGCCGTCATTATTCTGAAAACTCAGAAAGTAAAAAGCTACTGACTCTTAATTGGCAACTCATAGAAGCTTTTCCTCCCTGTGATTCCTACAGTTATGTGCCGTACATGTATAGAGAAAAGAAGGACTGCTTGACCTCATGAGTTCTGAAAAGATTCATAAACCAAGTACACACCCATTCCTAAGCTGTAAATTAGCATATTTATATTTTGCAGACGAAACTTTGAAAGATGGCTATGCCCACTATACTGCACCACAAAGCCAAAAGCTACACATGTACATACAGTAGTTAATTTTCTGTGTTGTTACAGGAGTTACCTTACCTCAAAAATGTCCTCCTCTACAGGTGAGTGACTCTGGTGCCTGCATGTAGTTTTCAGGCTTGGTGTAGTTTTTAAGCCTCCACACTTTTCAAAAGATGATCTAATTTGTTATCCCATATCTCAGTTAGTCCAAAGTTGGATGATACCAAGGTCCCTGGCAGTGATAGCCAAGGACCGTATCACGCAGTGGGAGTCCCTTAGGCCATACCTGGACCTTACTAGACAACAATAGGTGCAGATTGCTCAGAAAAACAGGAAAAACTACGGACTGCAGAAAAGAGAGTGTCTGGAAGTGTGGAAGGAAGAAAAGGGAGCAGGGACAAAGTACACAGCCCTCATCTCAACAGCAAAGGAGGCAGAGACCGATATTTGGCAGACTGTGTGAGGTCACTGCTAAAGAACTAAACTCCACCATAGACCTTACTTTCCAGCATTCACTCACTGTATACAACCTACATTGCAAGTAAAGTTCACGGACTTGTTGTTTACAAGTACGATAAAGTTTCGTGGTTTCATCAGCTACATACATATGTACGAAATGACTCCCTAAAGTTATACACTAGCTACTACCTGCATGTGTCCTAATCGTATTGTATTACATGTCTATTTGTTATCTGGGTTCAAGTTTGATTTCAAAGAACATGTGACAGTTCAAACACAATATCCCAGAACACAGACTACATGTGTGGTCTTGTTGCTAAGCTATAGGAATGCGTAGGAGCCTCTAAGAAAATAATCATTGCAGGCACATGTCGCTAAAATAACTGTTGCAACACTTCAGTAAAATTCATAGAAGGTATGCATTACTATAAGATATCAAGTTGATTCTTTACTTTTCGTACAAGATCACGGCAAGCGGTCAAAAGTACATAACTCTTGTTTTACTTCATCGGCCTTGACAACAGAAGGGTTTGACAAGACCGGCACGGTCCCAAATGGTGATGGGCCACTGATCTGTACCCCCTCCCAACAGTCAAGTTGTTAGTCCCACGCTGATTTTAAGAGGTACTATGTACTTCATCCCTCCACAAACTGCCAGCAAAACAATTGAGCTTTTCAGCCACGATAATACTCGTCTGAACAAGAGACTAGATGAAAAAGCAATAAGCAACCGTCTCTTCGACTAAAAATGATATTCATGCAATTGACGACTCATAGCTCTTCCTCACTGTTACTCCAACATGTAAACCGTACAGAGAGAAAGAAGACAAAGGAAGGGATTGTGGCCCTCCTAGGTGAGGTGTTTTCTCCCAACCAAAGTTCATAAAGTACATCATCCAGTTTTTTTGAATTATAAGTTAGTTTTGGTAATGTGGACATGTCAATTTTGTCCACTTGCCACCATTTAAGGCATAAGATGAATTTTATGGGTGAATTCACCAAAATTAATGTGTTGACACCTTGTCATAACTGGCTTACTAACACAGCAAGCCACACCCACATCCTATATAGCCAGATAAGAGAGGGTCACAGCCCAGCAGAAATTATGATTGCGTATTACCCTCAAAGTATACAGTGGGACCTCAGATAAGGGACCCTACCTCTCTACTCAAACTTTGGTGTATTATTTGACCTCCGAGAGGGACGACTTCTCTACAAGGGACAAAATCATTGGTCCCACAGTGTCCCTTGTTCTGAGGTTCCATCGTAATCCACCCTACATAGATCCCAATGGTGCAGCAAGGAGAGTGGGAAGAGTGGTGACAGATAGCTATAATAAAGTGCAACTCTTGCTGTGTATGTGCACCGTATATGGGATAAAGACTGATGTAATGAATAAGTGCTGATAAACCCGATGATGATGCAATAGTAACGCAGTTTAGAGGACTAAATACGTACAGAAGCCGACAAGAGCTCTGCTTGTAGACTACGGGGAGAGAACAGCACCATCAAGAACGAGATACAGAGAAATGGCCTCTACTCAACAAAAGAATGTCAGTATTCACCTACAACGGCAGAGAGAGAGGAGAGAGAGGAGAGAGAGGCTCTTGCAGGGGACCATGCCACAGCGGGCAACATACCCAAAAACTAGTATGGTAGTAGTGATTCCGTCACGGAAGCAGCCGGCAGCAGTTCCACCCCGTAACAATGAGAAGGGTTCCACAACTACAGCGGCAGCAGGGGCTAGTACTCAGCCAACACATTCGACACAGGAGAAGGAGACAATATCCAACAAGCTGGCTGGTATTTCGTTATCTTCGAAGCCAAATGCCACACCAGGAGACCCGGTTAATCCCCCCATCCAGGAAAAGGGAGCAAAACAGCCATCAGTTTCTACACTAACGTATGCAACCAACGGAGCTACAAACAAGAGCCTTCTGACTCCACAGAAGCCTGAAGAGGGCCACAGCCTGCTCCCTGAAGATTCGTTGTCAGTCAAGGCACAGGTACAACCATCACCAGAACAAAAAAGACGTGAATCGCTACACGACAACCCGAGTTACAAACCTTTTATCCACAACGTATCTCCCCCTAGACCACATGTACCTCCAGCTGTTGACTCTCGCTCACGCTCATCTTCAAATTCATCGACAGAACAGGATGACTCCGGAACCTCTTCAGACTAAACATTCGTAACTACGCTATTGTTTCACTCCTACTGGTATATACTATGTTTTTGGCAAGTAAAGAAAGCCAATCTCACATTGTCATCAGATTTATTTATACAGTGTTGCCACCTGACCGTTATTCTTATTTATTGTGACTTGCGTGGGCGGATCAAAGGTGCCGCGTATACTTTTATTTCCCGTATTGTAATACGTGTTCAATATGGCCAATATTGAACGTTCAATACAAAAATTATTGAACTATCATCAGCATCGTACACATAGTGTAGACAAAAACTGCTCTGTAGAGGCTGTAGAGGCGAGGGCGGTAGCCTCGAGAACAGAAACTCGCTCGAGAACTAGCGCGTGCGCACGTGCGCATGCTATGCCGTCGCATTTCTCTCGCTGGAGGGCGACGACTGCTACAAAGTCACAATGAAACACATAATGTGCGTCCTATCGTTCTATACATGACTTATGGGAACTCGGGTTGTGGTGGTGAGATGTGAGGGAGAGGAGGAGCTACATACCTGTATAAACTTATTCCTGCACCACATTGCATACGTATATCAGAAATTTGTTTGTTGCTTTACATGATTCAAACACTGCTATGTCCTTGGATTAGAACAATTTGTAGCATTTATACTTCAAATGAAAAGCACTAAAGTGCAAACCCTCGGCGAACTGCGCATGCGCGGTACCACTAATTGATGGGCTGGGCTTTTCTTTTCTTTACTCGTTATATCGCGCTAGTAGCTCGCGGAGAGTCTGGCACGGGCTAGCTACAGTAGTAGATTGCATGCGGGAGTCGATACATGCCCTTCGTTGTGACTTCTTGTGCCTTCAAGATACACAGAGCGCGCGGACGCAGTCGAGGTAAGCCTGTGCTAATTACCATATTGGCTTGTTCACTTGGTTTTCACGCCATAACTTTAGAACGCAGTAGTTTTACGAAAATCGCCTTTTTTTAAATCAACCCAGTGTAGCACTGAACCCGATCATATCGCTATTTACCTGATTTCGTGCGCGCGGTGGCAGAAAACGTGGTAACAGACAGAATGACAGAATGACAGACACACTTACGGGACAACTACCGTAACCCTCGCTGCGCATGCGCGCCGAGGGTTAACAATGATTCCTGTGCATGTTGAAATAAACTGCATCCCACAATAGTTGTATATATAGCACAGAGTTTATGAATATTGCATAAATACCCAGAGTCAAGAGAAATTCACAGTTACATTGACGACAATCACCAAAAGCATGATGCAATACCAGTTATTGAACCGGTTCCTAACAGGTTTAAGCATACAGACGCCTGATATACTGCAAGTGTGCACGCTATTTTACGAACATTTGGTGCAGCTGAGTATGGCAAGGAAATACAAACGTGAAAATTTGTCTCTACCCAACCTCAATCCAGCCCCAACACTAAAGGATTCGAGAAATCAGTCTCAGTCGCTAGTAATTAACCGGTCTGAGTCTAGCAAGCCAGACAAGAGTGAAGTTGTCAGTCCGCCACTGAGCTCAAACACAAGTTGTACTTCATCTCTACATGACTGCACTTCACCCATATCTGAACTGTCAGAAGAAGAGGTTTACCCATCGCAACTTCCACAAGAGAAAGCCTTCAAGCAACTTCCACAAAAGAAAGGTGGTGAGAAGCTGCCACCTATTAACCAATCACCACCCACGTGTGTAAAGTCAGTCCAAACTCCCAGAAATTTCCAACTAAGTGACTTGAGTAGAGCTTTACCTTCCATCCATAATGAAGGACAGATAAGACGAATCTTGTCCCCTACAAGTTGTTATGCAGTCCCTGATAGACGAGTACTCGATCAAGGTAGCACAACCTTACCAAATATCTCAAAACCTCACGAGAGGCTAAGTAGACCGGAAGATATACTATTTTCAACAGTACCAACTCCACCTTCAGGCACTGGGGTCAGAAAGCCACCATCACTAAGATTAAACCGCACGCCGTCTGCACCCATCTGTGCACCACTACACACAAAACAAGAGCCGCCACAAGAAAGCTTTCAGCCTTTTCGTCACCTCAAAAGTACAGACTGTCATTTAATTTCATCTCTCTCTAGCAGCCCTTCTGACTCGTAATTGCAATGAAAAGCACTGAAGTGCAAACCCTCGGCGTAGTGTGACGCGCACGCGTAAGTAAACGCATGCGCCGTACCACTAATTGATGGGCTGGGTTTAGTTTTAGCTGTTACTCGTGGTCTCTTGCCAGCTCGCGCAGAATCTGACGCGGGCTAACTACACTACTAGATAGTATGCGAGAGGCTATACACGCCCTGTGTTGCATCTTCTGGTGCCTCGATCCGAGGTACGCAGAGCACGCGGATCGACCGGACCGTGGTAAGCTATCCCGTCCGTCGTACATATTGGCTTTTTCGCGCTCTAGCTCTGCAACGGAGCATTTTCAGAGAAAACCGCCTTTATAGTCTGACCTTCGTCGCCCGTTGGGTAGATGGTATCGTTTCTGGGACGCACAGACATTAGAGAAGTGATATAGAATAACAGACAAACAGACAGACAGACCCAACTACTGTACTGTATATACCCTCGCTGCGCATACACCACATTGATGTATATAACCAGTATATGTTTTCCCACAACCAGAAGACAAAAAAGCTATTAAAATTGGGGAGAGGGGGGAACGCCTTATGAAAGCTATTACAGCTGGTTCACTTAATACTGCAGACATCAACTGTATTATAATATTTACCAATACACAAGAAACAGTTGTGTCCCTCACCTGAATGCTGATCCTGAGGATGTATTCGCACATCTGTCTCACGTCCTCCCTCCTCACCTGCCCGCTGGCCAGCAGCAACCGGTAGCGCTGGAAAAACTCGTTGTACGTCCAGCGAGAGGGGTAACCCGCGGCGCTGAGTCGCACCGTCTCCAACACACCGCAGGCCCTCAACTGCTGCACTGCTCTCTGAGGATCAAACCTGTGTATATAGCAGGGAACAACGTTTAGAACCAAATAGACTAAGAAAACCTTTGCTTATCTACCTCATAGTTTACACATGCACACATGCATAGGATTCTTGCATTTGAGTTGCCTCGTTGCCTCTCTAAAAGAAACCACTGCTACATGCTATGCATGGATGGCAGTGCCCAACACAAGATTCCTCCATTTGAAACATTCTTTGGCGAAAAGAGTTTGTATGCGTATAATAACTCCCTTACACATTACACAACACATTGACAAAGTGGCTATATACTATTTGCAAAAGCAAGACCGTAATTGCTAGCTCTTTCTCGAAATCCTTGCCGATAATGACTCACACAAAGGGTAGTTTCCTGTCATTAGACTTGATACAGCGGACATAGTGAGGAGTGGTGGAGTTGAGCGTGGTCATGAGTTCACGCAGGGAGGAACGGAACTGGGACCCCACCGTCACCTTGGTAACTGTCTTCATTCCATTCTTCCTGCGGCCACCTCGATCCTGACTCGATGTGACTTGAATGGGAGTGGCTTTAGCCGACTTGTAGAGAGAAGTCATGAATGGAACCTGCATACAAATTTACCAAAGAACTTTGCTTACTAACTCATATATACAAGTTGCAGATGTGTCAAACATGTGTATACAAGAAATGCAGACACACTAAAAACCTCATAAAAATGTTACGAAACGATTCCACTTAACATACACTGACACGTACAGTTTTACTGTCCAGTAATGGCTTATGGCATATGTTAAAGGCAAGGGTAATGTATACTCATAAAATACTGTATCATTCATCGGGAAAGGTTTATTGCCTCACAGAGCTCCCAGTGAGAAGCAGTAGATGCTCCTCAGCGACCTGCTCAGAGTTCTTGTCCACAAACCCCCGTGTCTGGTACTGAACGGGGCCAGCGTAGTGCCTGACCTGGAACTCGGACCGGGACATGCGAGGCTTGGTGAAATGGGTGGAGGAGGGAGTGTTGTGGTTGTCGTAGAGTTTCTGTATGAAAAGAGAGTCACACCCTCCTGGCATCTGGGGGAGGGGGTGAAAAATGGAGGGAGAGATTGAAGGAGAGAGGGAAGGGGTTAGAAGATTAAAGAGAGAAAAAGAGAGAAAGAGGTTGAAGAAAGGAGAGGGAAAGAAGAAGAGAATGTAGTATACAAGAACATCACAACACTTATCTTGCACAAACAGTTAACGAAAAGAAGGACCCAGAATAAAACTCTCAGCATTTATCCAAGGAGCAAGTGTATTATGTACTGGTTTATAAGTCAGAAAATCTGCAGGTACAGTAACAAACTGTACAAATGTGATCGTGCATTGATAGACTGTCTAGGGCTCACACCATAAAGTTACTGAGTTTGACGTCGTACAGTACCTTGTAGGTCTCGTCAAGCAGGTCCAGTATCCCCAACCTGTTCTCTATGAGATCAATACACGGCTGGTTGTCATAGTAATCAATAAACGACCACTCTATCTCCTCCTTCACGTACTCTGCCTGCTCCAACTGGAACACATGCTGTCAGTATAGGGGGAGAAACAAGTAACCTTCCATTTGCAAACACACAGCATTAGCATTTTAAAAGGGGGTCCACCGAAATAAGAAAGTGTGGTTGCCAGGATCCTCCTTCAGTATGTATGTACCAGTAAGCCTGAGCAAACTAAAATTTACACCTAAGGATTATAAATTTCCTTTCAGGTAAAAAATATCGTAACGTAGATTTTTAGACACATACGCCAAATTCCTGTTTTTCACTTTTACTTTCCCTGAGGACAGAATTTGGATACTAACTTTTTGTCTAAATTTCCAGATTGTATCTACTAACCATATTGAACTGTTGCTGTAGTTTCTCGTTGGCATAGTTGATGCAAAACTGCTCAAAGTTGTTCTCTTGGAAAACCTCAAAACCATAGATATCCAGTACTCCGATGAAAGAGGAGCGGGAAGAGGAGGAGGAGGAGGAAGAGGGGGAGGAGGATGGGGAGAGGGTGGAGTTGATGATATTCACGATCCAGTCAAACAGCCGACTGTACAGACTCTTAGCCAGACTGTCTCGGGCCGTGATGGACTGAAAGGAGGGAGAGAATGTTCAAATGTTATCGACATAAATGGAATGTGGGAGCAGCATGTAGTGAAAGAGAGTTTATGATGCCAAGAGGTGTAGTGCAGAAGAAATTGACCATAACTATATGGTGTCTGTAATGAAGGGGTTAACTTAATTGGGGAAAGAAAGGGTGTCTTTCTTAGCGAGATGTCGGAGTGCCCTTAGAGAGAGTGGTTCCTCTGTATATACATATAATACAGACCTGAGGGTGGGTGAGAGGTTTGTGGTAGACCTCTCTGGCAGTGGTGATCTTCTTGTGACATAACCAGTGGGCCAGGTGGGCGGAGTCAACTCCCAGCAAGGTCGCGGAGGTCACCAGACTCTCGTCTCCCTCACCCACCTCACCCATCACATCCCCACCCTTGCTCCTCCTCCCCACCTCCACATTACCGAGATGGAGGACAGCCGACAAGACTTGGAACACACCTCTGAGTTGGTCGTCGTTGAAACCGAGCAGTTTCATTGCATCTCGTGTGGCGGTGAATTCCGATTGGTCGTCCACGTCGTCGATAGCGACACGCCCTCCCTGACTGGTGTAGTGGAATGACTCAGCATGACCTGTGTCACATGTGAAGTCTTACACCGACAATGAAACGCTTCAGCGTGTGTTCACACTCTATACAAAAACCATTTTACAAGTTTTAAACGGGACCTAGGATTAACTCGCTGTTTTAACACTTTGCAGGCCAAGGACGCATAAATGTGTCCGTAGCTCTCATAAGTCAATAAGAATTTATATGAGGGGTTTAATATTAGGCGTTAATACTTAGTACACATATTTCTGCTTCTTTTAGAAGATTGTAGCTGTGGCATGGTAAGGGTTAAGAATTGGCGTTTACATCCAAAGCATGCTATAAGCTAACACACTTACATAATGCACAGTCTGGCACATTGAAACAAACTTCACTAACCAAGGTGGTAGTCAGACATGTCAGGACAATCCCTAGCAGCACACAACTGGTAGAATATGTGGTAGTTTCTCTCGCTGGTTGCCTGAGTGACGACCCTTGACCTCTCCAGTAGGTAAGTCCTCATGTGAGCTCCGGTAATCCTGTTAGTCCGGTCAAACCTGATCTCTATGTACTTCCCAAACCTACTGCTGTTGTCGTTACGAGTCGTCTTTGCGTTACCAATTGCCTGTGGAGATATGATACATGTAAAAGAGCGCTTGCCTAGACAGCAGCAGAGTGACGTGTGTTCCCCACCCAGGGTAGATCGGTTTTCCTTGGAAAAAAGAGCTGTCCTGGGTGTAGTTAATTTGTTTGCCTTTGCCTTTGCTGTGCTACCTCACTTCATTTGTTGACACATACTTCATACGTTCATCAGCACGTTTGCTTCATGTAATGCTAGAACAATGCAATGCATACCTCCATAATGGGGTTGGAGGCGAGTACTTTCCTCTCAATCTGAGTCTCGGTGGAAGCTCCGCCCACTGTTGCGAAATACCTCATGACGAACTTTGCGCTCACAGTCTTCCCGGCTCCACTCTCGCCACTGATGATCAGTGACTGGTCACTTCCCTCTCTGTATGAATACATGGGGACACAATACTGTGCATAACGGCAAATGTTACTAAAGATAGAACTAAATATTAGGGCCCAGTGCAAGAATGCAATTAGGTTTCCATTTTCAGTAACAGCTTCTAAATTTAGCCTTTATATGCTGCCATATTCTGGTGTAGTCTGCTATATACTGTGTTGATCACAGTGCAGTTTTAAAACTGTACATTTTAAAGTGAAGAAGATTCCTAACTCCACACCAGTGCCACTACTGCTAACATGTCTTCTACTGTAGTACAGTAAGTGTTGAAGCAGATTATAGTCTTCTTCTAGGCTAACATTAAAACGGGAAACATACAGAGAAACAACTGTACAGTGACATATGTAATACACACTCCCTCCATCTCAAAAGGGCAAGTTTTTATTTCCTGACATGTATACACCGTCTGAACCAACCTGGTCATTTTCCGGAAGGCTTCTTCTGCGACTGCGAAAATGTGGGGATCCATTTCGCCCATGTCCCTGCCCCGGTAGGCGGCGGCGGTCTCGTTACCGTAGATTGGCAGGGGCTGGTAGGGGTTGAGGGCGACCAGCACGATGCCGCAGTAAGTGTATATCATCTTGGAGTGTAGGAACCTCACTGAGAGGTTGTGGAGAACTGAGGAGGGGATGGAGTAAGAGACATGAATCATAAGATACATACGTACATATGTCTCAACAACTTGGTAGTGAGGTAGAAAGGCAAGGCAAACAAGTCAAGTACACCCAGGACAGCTCTTTGTAGAAGAGCTGCCCTAGGTGGGATTCAAACCCACGACACTCTGCAGTCTAGCAACTGAGCTACCAGGGCAACTCAGCTGGTAGGGGTTCGAATCTACAACACAAGGCAAAACCTCAAACCACTGCAGTATACTCTCACTCAGAATAATTATATGAAAGCAGAGAAAGCGCACCCGGGACAACACTAGAGCTGCCCTGGTAGAGACTTGAACCCACGGCACATGAGTTGTACCATACACGTAGGAGGGGTGGGTATATAAAGATGAAGAGGAACAGCTAGATTTACGGTGTGCACATCAGCCTGTGGACACCAATGTGTTTTCTGCCAATTGTACAAATTTGGTAAACAGGGGATGGTAGCGGGTTGGAAGGGAAGGAGGAAAGAGAGAGAAGGGAGAAGGTATACCTGCAGGCTCATGAAGGTAGGAGAGTGTTGTGAGGTCGTTTGCCCCGACCAGCATCTGAGGATTGCGCAATAGAGGGAGGGAGTCCTTCGTCCCTAGCAGCTTTGTCTCCTCCTCTCCCTCACATCTCACCACCACACCCCCCTCATCACCCTCCACGCTCACCACCTCACCTCCCACCCACACCCTGTCTCTGTCTGGGACCCACACCCTCACTCCCTGGAATGGAACACAGGGATCAGCTGCCATTTTTCTCCTCATACCAACAACATATGGCTCTCTTTTTCTGTGGTAGCATGCAGCAGTGCAGAATGTATACTGCACTTGCATGCACACAAGTACTAGTCTCGGTACCAGCCCCTCTTACAAAGAGACTACATATAGTAGATACAGCGAGACTTACCCTGCAGTACAGGTCAGGCACGTCCACGGTCGACATGGCGTTCAATAAGCCTGCAGGCGTAGTGGAGAACCGCGCCGAACAGCCACAGGCAAATGGTAGAGCAACAGCTGAGCAACTTCAAAATTCAAATAAAACGCATGCGCACAGCAAAACGTGCGCACTAATAAGAGTTTCAGCCCACGTGTTGGGGGTCAAAGGTGATGTTTCTTGCTTCGGTCCGGAATTATTTTTCACTTACAGGCAGAAGATTGATAGCAAGAAGACTATCTAGCTCAAGGATAGGGACATCTTTCCGCCTCTTTCTCCTTGCTGTGAGCTGTCACAGTCAGCCACTGTCTGGAACGACCTTACGAGTGAGTGCAAACAACAGAACTCTAATTGAAGCACACCGGAGATTAATGACGGACAGTGGCAGCGAGCGCGGGAGGCGGTATCTGGGGCAGGAGGAAGCTCGAGAGTTCGACAACTCTCTCTTCAACGACTACAAGTTCTCCATTGACCAGCTGATGGAAGTGGCAGGACTCTGCGTGGCTCAGGTGAGTGGTTAGCATATGTGCTCTCCTGACATACACAGAACCTTGGCAGGCGGTAGTGAGGTCTTACCCTGCTAGCGAGGTGGGTGTGGCCTCACCGAGGGTCCTGGTGGTGTGTGGACCTGGCAACAATGGAGGAGACGGTCTAGTGGCTGCCAGACACCTTCTCTTCATGGTGAGCCTCTCCCTACAACTTTACAGATACGTCCATATTTTCAATTATATACACTACGACCGATAATCGAAGAGTACAGAGGAGATAAGTGCTCCAGAATATTATGTATATGAATATGTAGGTGTGCAGTACAGAACATGATGGAAATGTGTATGGACGACAAGTTCAGTAAATTTGTCCACCAGCAGGCCAGAGCCGATCACTGTCATTGAGACCATGGGTTATACATAGTTTTTTTATATAGAATGTGTGGGTGTATCTGGTGATTATGTGCACCAGAAACACACACACAATCTGAGGTTATATCTCTAGATATACATACCCAAGTGTACAAACATCATAGTCGGACATAATTATACAGTATTGGACGATCCCCTTTCAAGTATTGGGTGTGGTCTGATGGAAAGGACTCGCACACTAGATCCTGAGGTCAGTGGTTCGATCCCTGTCTGGTGCATTTTTTTAATAATGATGTCATATGAGTGTTGGTATAAGAGGAGCCTTTTTTCATCACCTCTCGTGGCCAGCCCAAGTGGCTAAGTGGTTAGAGACATGGGGACTGTCACATAAGGTGCCCGGTTCGAATCCCGGACCCGCACTGAAACTGACAGGTGGTCCAGAGCATTGGCTGGGAACAGCTCTGGTTCCTCCCCTTACCCATGAATCTACCATTGACCCACATACATCCTAAAGGGGAGCGTACAGTTTGGCATTGCACTGCGTCCATAGACGTCTGTCTGGAGAGATGTTAATTTTTTTAACCTTTAGTAATCTGTTTTTCCCCCTAAAATCATTGATGGGTAAGCTGCATGTATTCAGTTGTATTTTTATTTTTATGGGTAGCCATTATTTTTTTCAACCTTTAGGATCTTTTTTTTGCCCAATTGCATAACATTCAGGCACAGCCACTGCCCGGATGAAAGGTCTGTACGTGGGTTTGTTGTTGTCTTTTCCTTCCATCCAGATGCGCTGTAAAATTAAAGTTTAACCATCCTGCAGTGATTGCACTGCAACATCTAGCTATAGTCAAGGTATTCAGGATAGTTTGTTATCCTCTCTTTCCCTCTAAAAGGAACTCACTAAAAGTACGAAAAGTTTAGCCACGCCTACTTTCCACAATCACGTTTGACTATATGATTGCACTGCATCCTCTTGCTAGTGCCCAGGAACAATATTAGAGTAGTTGACTCTCCATAAAATTGTAGCGCTAAGCTTTCTGTCGAATCAGTAGCTTCCCTTCTCAAAAGCCCCCTTCTCATGTACATAGCTATGGAACTTGAACGGAAAGCGTGTGTGACTTTGTTTAATGTATGTGGATTGTCAGTGTATTCTGTGTTTGTCATGTTGGTGGTTATGTCTCACCAAACATTGCGCTCCAGGTGTATTTAATGTGTGACTGTGCCCAACACTCCCTCTGTCTGTCTGTACTGCTGGCAGATACCTCTCTACAAATGTATGAGGACACACCTCATGTGTATTACTTTATAGCACTAAACTTACTGCCGAATTTATGAACTTTTCCGACCTAAAGGCTTCCTGCTATTCTCACGTATACAGATAGCTATGGAACATGTAGGTGAAGAGTCTGCACCTTGGTTAGATGTATGTGGACTGCCGGTGTCTGTTGTGTGTGTCTATGGAGGGTTAGTGGTTCGGTGCTGTCTAACCAAACGTATGTGGACTGCAGGTGTCTTTGGTGTGTGACTAAGCCCAACTACCCCTGTCTGGTACTACTGGCAGAGACCTCTATGAGCTGACACACCTCATACATAGTATCTACCACCATATCATATTGTGCTGTTGGCTACTGTGCTCTGGGGCCGGATAGTGTAGTGATAGACTATTGCTCTTCAAAGGGACGCAGTGAATGTAGTTTTGATTGATGTTCAATGACTTCAAGTGGTCCCTGTGTACCAATAACACACGATTTTTCAATCACAAAGTATCGTACAATACAGTAATACGTAGTTTAGCCTATTGTAAGACTATGGACAGTGTTGATCCAGTACGTGAGAGCAAGCAATTAATTCTGTTGGCTTCCTAACTGTTTGAGTATCAATCATTATTGTGTGTTACATTATGAAGTACGTAGGTATTGACTTTTCGGCTTGTTCACTGTGTGTGTACCAATGTAGTGTGGAATGTAGTGTAGAACACAGGTTTGTGTTGTGTAGAAGACAATTGGCTGAGCTTCAAACAAGACCTATTGTCTCAACAATAGACTATTCCATATCCTCTGGCACCTGCGTACTGGACTTCATGTAGATCAAAGGAAAGGAAGAAGGTGTCGCTTTTGATGCTTCGAGACTGACATTCTTGATCAAAGAGTGTGTGTGTGCGTCTCTCATTTCTTCGCCCAGTGGCCAGTTATGGAAGTTTTGTGGCTCGCAGTCTGTCAGTCTCTGTGTGTGTATGTGTTGTGTGTTACCTGGTGTAGATTGGTTGTGTTGGTAGAATGTTGGCCTTATTGTGAACACACACAGTCCTGTGTTTGGGGCAATACTGCCTTTGAGATGAAACCTAAAAGCCTCCTTCAAGGTTTTGTGGATTCTAAGTTATAGAAGAGAGAGTCTGGTATAATAGTTAACCCTTTCCACACCACTATTATACAAGCAGAAACCATGTACAAAGTATTAACACCTAATATTAAAACCTCCATAGGGTGGCTTGCACTGCACTCTCCAGCTATAGTCAATGTATTCAGGATAGTTTCATAGCCTGTCCTTCCGTTCGTGTACTCACTAAAAGTACGAACAATTTAGGCCACCTTACCAGCACATGCGTACAAAACCTAGGCCACCACCCCATTTTTAACGGTAACTATTGAGGGTGGCTTACACTGCACTCTCAAGCTATAGTGAAGGTATTCAGGATGGTTTGTTAGCCTGTCCTTCCGTTCGTGTACTCACTAAAAGTAAAAACAATTTAGGCCACCTTACCAGCCTATGCGTACAAAATCTAGGTCATCCCATTTTTAACAGTAGCTATTGAGGGTGGCTTGCACTGCACTCTCCAGCTATAGTCAAGGTATTCAGGGTGGTTTGTTAGCCTGTCCTTCCATTTGTGTACTCACTAAAAGTACGAACAATTGAGGCCACCTTACCAGCCTATGCGTACAAAATCTAGGTCATCCCATTTTTAACAGTAACTATTGAGGGTGGCTTGCACTGCACTCTCCAGCTATAGTCAAGGTATTCAGGGTGGTTTGTTAGCCTGTCCTTCCGTTCGTGTACTCACTAAAAGTACAAACAATTGAGGCCACCTTACCAGCATATGCGTACAAACTCTAGGTCATCCCATTTTTAACAGTAGCTATTGAGGGTGGCTTGCACTGCACTCTCCAGCTATAGTCAAGGTATTCAGGATGGTTTCATAGCCTGTCCTTCCGTTCGTGTACTCACTAAAAGTACAAACAATTTAGGCCCACCTTACCATTACAAAATCTAGGTCATCCCATTTTTAACAGTAGCTATTGAGGGTGGCTTGCACTGCACTCTCCAGCTATAGTCAATGTATTCAGGATAGTTTGATAGCCTGTCCTTCCGTTCGTGTACTCACTAAAAGTACGAACAATTGAGGCCACCTTACCAGCCTATGCGTACAAAATCTAGGTCATTCCCATTTTTAACAGTAGCTATTGAGGGTGGCTTGCACTGCACTCTCCAGCTATAGTCAAGGTATTCAGGATGGTTTGTTAGCCTGTCCTTCCGTTCGTGTACTCACTAAAAGTACAAACAATTTAGGCCACCTTACCAGCATATGCGTACAAAATCTAGGTCATCCCATTTTTAACAGTAACTATTGAGAGTGGCTTGCACTGCACTCTCCAGCTATAGGCAAGGTATTCAGGGTGGTTGTTAGCCTGTCTTCCGTTCGTGTACTCACTAAAAGTACAAACAATTGAGCGCCCACCTTACAGCATTACGTACAAATCTAGGTCATCCCATTTTTAACAGTAGCTATTGAGGGTGGCTTGCACTGCACTCTCCAGCTATAGGCAATGTATTCAGGATGGTTTGTTAGCCTGTCTTTCCGTTTGTGTACTCACTAAAAGTACAAACAATTGAGGCCACCTTACCAGCCTATGCGTACAAACTCTAGGTCATCCCATTTTTAACAGTAGCTATTGAGGGTGGCTTGCACTGCACTCTCCAGCTATAGTCAAGGTATTCAGGGTGGTTTGTTAGCCTGTTTCCGTTCGTGTACTCACTAAAAGTTACAGTACAATACGATGTTAGCCTCACTAAAAGTACAAACAATGAGGCCACCTACCAGCATATGCGTACAAACTCTAGGTCATCCCATTTTTAACAGTAGCTATTGAGGGTGGCTTGCACTGCACTCTCCAGCTATAGTCAAGGTATTCAGGGTGGTTTGTTAGCCTGTCCTTCCGTTCGTGTACTCACTAAAAGTACAAACAATTAGGCCCCACCTTACCATGCGTACAAACTCTAGGTCATCCCATTTTTAACAGTAGCTATTGAGGGTGGCTTGCACTGCACTCTCCAGCTATAGTCAAGGTATTCAGGATGGTTTGTTAGCCTGTCCTTCCGTTGGTGTACTCACTAAAAGTACAAACAATTTAGGCCCACCTTACCATTACAAAATCTAGGTCATCCCATTTTTAACAGTAACTATTGAAGGTGGCTTGCACTGCACTCTCCAGCTATAGTCAATGTATTCAGGATGGTTTGTTAGCCTGTCCTTCCGTTCGTGTACTCACTAAAAGTACGAACAATTGAGGCCACCTTACCAGTTATAGTATTGGCCTAAAGGATTGTGATTTGGGAGTGGAGTCATTCCCCCATGCAGTGTACTACCCTAACATGTACTACTGCAACATGTACATGTAGTGACCATACGTAACTTCTTCCCTTCTAGGGGTATGACCCTGAAATCTACTATCCCAAACGAACACCGAAAGACATATACAAGATCCTAGTCGCACAGTGCGAGAAACTAAACGTCAGATTTCTCACGGAGCTACCGTCAGCCCCCGACATTGACAGAGACTATCACGTGATTGTCGACGCCATTTTCGGATTCAGTTTCAAGGGAGCAGTTCGGTCGCCATTTGACACGGTTCTGGCCACTCTGGTCCAGTGCTCCACTCCTATTGCCTCCGTCGACGTGCCTTCTGGTGAGTCACACTAATATCTTCAGTACATTTGACACGGTTCTGGGCACTCTGGTCCAGTGCTCCACTCCTATTGCCTCAGTCGACGTGCCTTCTGGTGAGTCACACTAATATCTTCCGTGCATTTTGTGCAAGAGCTGAGCTTTTTGAATTTATCGTGTGTGGAAGCGAACACTCCTAGTTAGTCAACCTACCGGCAACTAAATATCAACGAATTTGTTATATTTGTGACAGTCCACAACAAGTGGTGTATTCAACCCCTATGTTGCTGTCACTCTCCATTAATTATGAGTCAATTGCCTATACAGTATATTATTATATTACACTAAGTACGGTAGTACTTAGTGTAATATAGGGATGGGCATGGTACCTAGCATCATAGATGTATTGGGCTATGATAGGGAGTTTTGTTCATACTATAGTAACAATTGTCTGTGGTGTGAGATCCCTATATACCATTGTTCACCACTCCCGTGGCCTAAACTGACACACAATAAGGATACGATATTGGTGTTAGTACCTGATCTTGGGGCAAGTGTATGCACACATGGCCTTTGTTGGCCAGACAACAACAGGGTCACTACAATAGATAGTAATACCCTTTCTATTAGTGTAAAGGTGTGGTCTGGTAGTTGTAACTATAGGATACACCCAACTACCAGACCACACCTTTACACTAATAGAAAGGGTATTACCCTTTCTATTAGTGTAAAGGTGTGGTCTGGTAGTTGTAACTACAATAACTAAAGTAGGATACACCAAACTATGTTTTCCCCTTACATCATGCACACTCATGGAAATCACGTATGTGTATATATATGACCTTGAGTTACATACTACATACATATACTTCCCTGTATACTTGTCAACCATTATTCAATGGACTAGGCTTTGCAGAATTAACTACATATAATCAAAAAAGGTATTTGCCACTGATTTGCTCAGAGTTGCTCATTATGGGCAAGTGAGAGGGAAAGGAGGAAGGAAGATAGGAGGAGGAGGAGAATGGTGAGAGGTTAAACTTAGGAAATTCCACCTACAATGTTATGTAGGATAGTCATCCTGTGTGCAAGGATGAAGAATTGTGAAGCTATTCCACACACATGTTACTTCTAAGGTAGATGGGTGTCATAATATGTCACCCCCTGAATGTGTTAGCATCAGGGTATGCCCACCTCAAGACTGTCAGGAAATGACACAGGATGTTACTGAGACCTCTCAGACACAACTGGACATTAAATGAGATTCCAGAACGTATCAAGTAGCAACCATAATGTGTTTGTACCCTCATGTTCCACACCATTTAACAGAATGTTCTCTTTACGAATAGCTAGGTGCGACAGTTATAATTATGAGAAAGTTCAGAAAAGCCGAGAAAAGCACCGTATGTATATACCTGCCTCTTGCGCTACTCTCTAGCCTCACATAACCCCCATTTCTATACAATCCTAGTACGATGTTTATAGCTACTGTTTTTAGCATTTGTTTTGAGTGATCTTGCGTTTCGAGCCATCACTGTGTGGTCGATTGGTAGTGTTTTCAGAGTTTGTCTTTTGTACCATAACTGTGGTCGTTTTGTTTGCCTGCGTGTGTACACCAGACCTTGTCTGTTCAACCCCTCGACTCTGCTGTTTTCTTCCTGCCACTCTCCAGACACACAAACTCTGTAGGCATTATACATTATGCTGCTCTAACACACACTGTTCCCTTCCGTCGAAGAACGGAACTTATCCACTGTAGTGTCCCGACACTATAGTAGAGTGATACGTATCTACATGATTCTGAGAAGGATGTATTGGGGTGTATATAAGTGATGTTCTAATGTACCACAGTCTGGTGTGAGAGCTTCTGTCTGTGTTTGATGTGTAGCCAGTGCATCCTGTTTATGGAGGAAGGGTCCGTGTACATACCTAGTACATAAGTATGTTGAAGGAAGTCTGTTGAGTGGGTGGTCAATGGTAAAGTGTGGGCAGCAGTATGTGATTATCTGTTCTATTGGTGTGTATACACACTACTAACCGCCAGTATTAGCATGGAGGGAGGAGTAAGGGGGGTCAAGGGGCAGAGAAACAGTAGTGAGGTAGGGAGAGATGGTGTTACTATTCCACCCTCCAACCACAGACAAAGTAGTAGGTGTGGTTGGTTTGTCATTTCAGTTGCCTGCAAAAACTTTTGGGGGAAGGATGAAGGGACAACAAAACAGAAAAAAGATAGGGCCAAGATAATGCAACTATTCCACCCTCTAAGTGAAGTGAAAGTAATATGTGTTGTTGGTTTGTCATTTCGTTTGCTCATGTTCCTGCAAAAAATGCAAAATCTAGTAAGTAACCCATTCAAGTTGTTGTATATACTACAAGATTTGACCCACGTCAACGTTAAATGTTGAATGCTATAGGATACCACGTCGACCTTGTATGGTGTAGAATATTAACATCAAACCCCTCTTATACCTTCCAATCACCTCACTCACCTCATTCTAGCTCCCGCAGGTGGCCTTGTTTACTGACAGACTGCTAGGGGTGAGCATGGCAGAAATGTGTCTGTGTGCTACTACTGTAGCTTGGCAGGTGCTGTTTATCCCACCATTCAAGATCACACGCCTCAAATAGTGTGGCGGCAAGGCCAACATCTCATGCTTTTCAATGGACAGTGTCTACAGGTCAAACTGAGGCAACTTTGTTGCAAGGACATACGTGTACATTAAAGACCCATCATTATCCATATACTGAAGACTCATTATCATATCCACATTAAAGAACATCTAATCCAGTTCCTTTTTACAAAATTGTGCCAGTTTATGTTCATCTTACTTTGAGCCATTTTGGTGGGCCTATTAGAGGAATGTTATCACATAAAATGCTTGTGGAATTCTAATTGTCTGCAAGAATGTGTATGCTATAATTATAGTCCTGTTGCATCATTTTATGTCACAGTGTCATAATATAATTTGACAAGAAGATTGACTCAAAATGATCTAACTCTATAATCAGGTTATTTAGTGTGGTAAATCCCAGCTTTAATGCCAGGAGCGATCTCCTAATTAGGTTAGCCTCCTTGTTCTGCCAAAGGACATCTTTTCCCCCTGGTTGCCATCATTCCGTGGGGACCCACCACCGGTGCCTGGCAACGCCAAGTATGACCTCGTTAAAAGGTTAATCCCTTGTCATGAAGTTGTATGCTTGGTGAACTTATATGGGCATGGAGCATGCTATATAGTATAAACTTGTATAATATGCATGTCTCCACTATGTAAAAGCACAATTTGGAGTCCAGTGGATTTTTTTTTATTATAGAGATCAAGTCTTGTGTAGCACTGTCAGGTGAGTTTAATAAGTGCCTGTAGTGTGGTTTCCACATGCAACACATGCAACAAGTGCATGCCAATTAGAGTGGGTACTAATCAAGTTAGACAGCTTGTCTCTTGTAATATAAGTGCAATATGCCTATGCTTAGTGTTAGTGTTTCAACAGTACACCACTCAATTGACAAGAGAAGCAAGCCTACCTCAATGGTTGTCTGAATTACGTGGTTTGTATGTGATTGCCACTGGACATAAAAACACAACACTTAAACTTGAAATGGTCACGGCCACTCTCCAAAAGATGAGTTGCATTCGGTCTAGTATTGCATAGTGTGGCTCCTTCAGTTTAGTACATACTATATACAACCTGTCAACAGTTCCATGTATGGAAGGGCCAAGTGCCAAAAAATTGAGAAACGTACAAAGAAAAGCCGAGTGGCTCCCGCCTGGACATAAACTCATAATCACTGAGAACTCACTCACGACTTGGCAACAGTGCATCATGCAGGCATATGCTTCATACACCATAATTCTCACCAGATGTTACCTCTTGCTTTATGTGTACTATTAATGCAGCGAGTTCACAATCGGATGGGAGGGACTTGCCAGTTTACAAGATGTGGTGTAACAATGTATAGCTTTCTGCTCACCGGTGCTGTGTACAAAGGGTTAAATGAGTCAGAATCATGTCCTCGTATGTATATATATATAATGTTGCAGTGCCAAGACAGGACAGCATTCGCCCTTACGCCTCATGCTGGGCACTGCAACAAACGTGTAAGTAAACCCCATAACTGCCTATTTCTTATCTTCACTCCCTATATCCCCCCAATCCTTATATGTCCATTGTTCAGAGACAGCAATCTTGAATCACTGTCTGGTGACAAATAGCCAGTCCTATATACAGCATTACAGAGGGAACGCAAGTCATAAAGCTGCCATGCACATGTAGCACCTACATACGTATACATTAAGTACTACCATACATAAGTTTAATATACACATACGTAGATGTTGTTCGTAGGCACGTCGCCTGGCTGAGACTTGGCCATCTTCCAGACTTCCACGTGGTTTGGAGTCAAAGGTCAGGACGTGGTATGACGTACATATGTACGTATATCGTAGCTCAATATAATATTACATGTGTCCTTGTGCTCAGAAGTTTAGGGAATTTTGCCACATGTTATTTGTTTACTTACACACGAAAACGTCCCTACAATTAGCTCCTAATGACCCAGTGAGGTATGTGGAATGATCTCATCATTCCTATACTTATCGTCAAACGAATGGCAATCAATGGCTGTAAACATCCACTTGGCAAACACATGATCTGTTCAGAAGACGTCTAAAAAAACACCAAAACTAGGAAAAGAGATCTCTTGCCATTTACGTACGTACGTACTTGCAGTCAGCATGACAGTGTCTCTTCTCAAATACAATACCTGGTTTTTCCCATTGGAATGTCTCTAAACTTAAAGTTACCACCTAATAGTGACAATACTCACTCTATGTATGTACGTATCTTCCCAGTTCTACTTACATTTCGTTTGTGTTTTGTGGTTAAAAGTGGTATTTACACTCTATGTTTACAAGAGTGATGACTTTAGTCTTTAGACTTCAGTTAGTCAAAATACACAATGTTTAAACACAATGATGGCATGAAGTAATATGTGGCTAAATATCATTAGTGAGTTTCAAACCGTGAATAAACGACCGACGTATCTGTGTGGTTGAAATCCAGCCATAATGATGAATGGTTTAAATTCCTCTTCCAATGTGTCACATCTATTATTGTACCTTTTACGGAAGAATTTTGATTGCTATAGCACAGGGGAATGCACAAAATTGTATACTTGCTTGCATAGCTATTGCAGGAAGATTCGTGCATGCACAGGTTGGCGTTGTTGGGTGTGGGAGAAAGATTGGAGACACATCCCAAATTACATAACGGGACACATTTTGTGAGCAAGGGAACCGTTTATGTTTTGGCACATGATCACAAGTAAAAGTTACCCCTTTTTGCGTTTTTTTGTTCCCTCTTTCCCAATATACGTACAGTATTGTCTGATTGCTGTTATATGTCATTTTGTTCCGTGTATAATGTCATTTGTGACACTGCACACTGTTGAAATATATACGCAACATTGCGTAATATTGCGGACCCCAGTGACATATTTGTATATACACCAGGGCTTAAAAGGAATGCAGCAGCTATAAAATTTAGAAAACGGCAACTTAGTTGCTTTCTTCCACTGGGCACTATTGTTTTGGTTTTATTTTTAGTAACATTTCACACTTATGTACTCCCACATTCCGTACAATGTGACTACATACGTACGTACGTAGAAGCAATAACTATATATAATATTATGCAATACAATACAAACTCGTGTAGATCCTATGGAGTATATATGCACAACGAAGATGTGTGCAATGTGGATGTGCAGTACCTCATGTATGGCATGTGCCATCATACGTACACATACACATTGCAGTAGGGTGGGATTCTGCAAAGTTATGTTGGCCAAGGAAATTGTGATAATTTCACACTTATTCAGTTTGCCTGTTGTTGTGTCTTGTGTGTTTTGAGTGTGTCAGTGTGCGTGTTTCGGATGTGCAGTCATTAGCGTGTGTTTTTTGTGCTGTTTCCAGTGTATTTTTGTGCTGTTTCCAGTGTATTTTGAAACTTTTTCTTGTGTGCATGGCCATGAAAGCATGCATCCCTTCACTCGCTTGCTTGAATACAATCATGTGTGTGGTGTAAGTGCGCAGTCCCATGTGAAATCTCTTTGTAAACTGCGTTAAATTTACTAAGTGCCCGTGAAAAAATTACATTTACTGATATTCCCCATAGGCTGGGATGTTGAGAACGGAGACCCAAACGGAACGGGACTGAAACCAGACACTCTGGTATCCCTCACAGCCCCAAAGACCTGCTCCCAACTCTTCACCGGTCGCCATCACTACCTTGGTCTCAGAATGGTCCCCAGAGAACTGGCCTCACAGTACAAACTTGACCTTCCTCCCTATCCCGGCACCGACCAGATTGTTAGACTGTGATATATATACACCGTGATGCTAACCCCCTGTTTTATTTGGCAAGCAGCCTGAGCTACTCTAATAGTACGAATGGCGCAATTGTTTTCTATAAATGTACATTGGGTTTATCATCCAACTGCACGTGAATTGAATAGCGTGCTTCTTTTTTATTTGTGTTCGAAATTTTTTCCTCCAACTTTAGAAATTGCTCTGCAATCTTGTACTAGTATATATTGCACACCACCTCTTACCGCGATGACATAATTCGTGATTTTTTGCCTAGAAAAATACAGGCATGTACTTTGGGCATTTGTACGTATATACAATATAGGTAGATATATGGGCCCTTGAATTATCTCTGGTGATGCTTTACGAAGCGTTTTCGCCGAGTTCTAGGCTTTTTGCATGCGGGTTACATGAGATTTTGCCATCCCACGTATAGAGAGCATCTACAATGCTCTAATGTATTACGAACTCCCCAATATCGTACCTTGACCTTACACATACACTCTTTTATTGGCAAACAACCACTGGCAATACAAGATTATGGTCACCTGTGTATGTATTATGTGCTCACTTTAAGTACTGGCGGCTAGCTACAGAGCAAGGCAGAGCACTCTGTGTTCTAGAGAGGGCTCTACCAACTGAGCTACTGAGGCAGCTCAGCATGCTGGGCTGAATCACTCATACAGAGCAAGGAAGAGCACTCTGTGTTCTAGAGAGGGCTCTACCAACTGAGCTACTGAGGCAGCTCAGCTGGCTGGGCTGAACCACTCATACAGAGCACTCTGTGTTCTAGAGAGGGCTCTACCAACTGAGCTACTGAGGCAGCTCAGCTGGCCAGCGCGAATCACTGAAGTAGTTGACGGTAGAGTAATAGGCCATTAGTTGAATAGCTTGTTCAATTGGCCTTGTTTCATATCCAGTGTACCATGTCGTGTGCTGGGAGGGAAGGAAGGGGGATGTGGAAGATTAGGCCACCTACTCTGCCATCACCTCACTCCTACTGCCCAGTAGATACTATATGTATGTGTGCATAGTGGTGACGTGAGTAAGAGAGGTATACAAGCAAAGCACAATGTGCAGTAAACACTGCGTTGCAAGGCACGCTCTTTACCCAAACCCATGATACCCTGCTCTCAATGTAGTGGGAAACTTTATTTAGAGCCCGCCATGAATATTTTCTCTGTGGACTATTTCTCTCCTTTGTGTACACTGCAAGGCTGTGAGGAGTTTTGATCACTATTGAGATGCAGCACGTCCTTGCATGTCATGCATTTACCTTTTGCTGTAAGGTATTGAGACTTCCTCCGTAACTGAGCCTTGGCCTGCTTACTTAGCACGCTCCTAGATACAGACATCTTGCATAAGAAAACCTTCGTGGACTAAAAGTTCTGTAGCTTGTCCCAACGTAAGATGGATAACAGTTGTCTGCAGTTTCACCTTTCACTTTCTGTTATTGGCCCACGTAATATTGAATAACAAATGAACCCCCCGTTTGTGAGAATTCTACTGATGCAGCATTGATTGCAGCCAACCAGTCGCCTTGTGTGCCATATATGTAACTCCAAATCTGGCAGGACAACTGCTTGTTAGTCTCCTGAGTATATTTAGAACCACAAATTAACCAATCAATGACATCACCGTGTACCTGCATGACTGGCTGGTGTGGGGACATTGTTTGGCCAATGGTGCATCTCCTAGCATGAGACATGTCGCAGGAATGTAATCAAAGACCCAGCCAGGTACCTATGGTAGACAAGTAGTTGACTTTCAAACCCACAGAATATATGGATCCCATTTTGCAGTCCATGCATTCTCTTAAGGCAAGCAATACGTATAGTTTTACTGGTAAAAGGAGCATGTATATTATTCTATGCTACTTCAAATGAATTCTATGCCAGTGCTAATGTGTTAGGTTTTTATTTTACTGCCGTGTCGTATGTAACGGAAGACCAATAAATCCCTTTCTGAACAAATTTGGTAGTTGTTGCTTTAGTCTGTATATTGGGTACACGGGAAGTTCCATATCTCACGTGGTACAGGTCTCAATAAACAAATTATGTTTTGCTGCTGATGTGTTTACAGCAAGCACCATGTCAAAGTGGGTTTCTTACGACCGGAAATTACTTCAGGTTTGAACGAAATCATCATCGTAAGTGAGACGCTAAGTCCTACATGTCTGCTGTGCTGCGCATGCATTGTCCATATTATGTTCTTGCCGATCGTGTATAGGGCATAATTGTATGTGTGCTAGTGCTGTTCTTTCCTAGGGGATCTTTAGGGAGGGAGTGAGATATTTGTACAACTTCCCAATTACTCTAAACTGTCAACAATGGCGAGTGCAGCACCAACATCTGCGTGGAAGGTTTCTGCAACATTCACCGAACATTCTGCCAGCAACACAACACAATTTCCCTGTGACAGCTTCGACTAAACCTTATACTGTACCAGTGATGTTGCGAATCAAAAGCGTAAGTACTCTGTTTACTCAAAACAGGATCGTTATAGTATAACAGCAGCGGGGATTGAGAATAATAAGTTTAAAAGTTCGGCCAGGTAAACAGCAAAGTCGGACTCAGGTGATCTATTTAGTGCATATAGAATTTGATCTCATGTCAGACACAGCCACACGTCTCGATCGCAATTCTACGTATGCCAGGTCCAGACTAAATAAGTTCATGAACACTAATCAAGGCAAGTGCATATGAATGAAAATCGGAAACACCCGGGACAAAAGAGGTGCCCTGGGTTGGACTGGAACCCACGACACTCTGCTCTCTAGACAGAGTCCTCTACCACTGAGCTACCAGGGCAGCTCCCCAGGCAGGGCTCAAAGTCTGCAATACAGCACAAAGCAAAGGCAGACCCCAAACTCTGTGACAAGCCAATTAGACATTATGCACGTGGTACATATGGAGCATGTGGTATGGACATGGCACGTGGGACGTATCTTGTGGTATGGACATGGCACGTGGTACGTATCTTGCGGTATGGACATGGCACGTGGGACGTATCTTGTGGTATGGACATGGCACGTGGTACGTATCTTGCGGTATGGACATGGCACGTGGTACATATCTTGTGGTATGGACATGGCACGTGGTACGTATCTTGCAGTATGGACATGGGACGTGGTACGTATCTTGTGGTATGGACATGGCACGTGGTACGTATCTTACAGTATGGACATGGGACGTGGTACGTATCTTGCAGTATGGACATGGCACGTGGTACGTATCTTGTGGTATGGACATGGCACGTGGTACATATCTTGCAGTATGGACATGGGACGTGGTACGTATCTTGTGGTATGGACATGGCACGTGGTACATATCTTGCAGTATGGACATGGCACGTGGTACATATCTTGCAGTATGGACATGGCACGTGGTACATATCTTGCAGTATGGACATGGCACGTGGTACATATCTTGTGGTATGGACATGGGACGTGGTACGTATCTTGTGGTATGGACATGGCACGTGGTACATATCTTGCAGTATGGACATGGCACGTGGTACATATCTTGCAGTATGGACATGGCACGTGGTACATATCTTGCAGTATGGACATGGGATGCATTTCCAGCCAATTGGTGCAGGTGTTTTATATGCCATGCCAGCCACTCCTGTAGTCTGTGATGGTATATACTTGTGTTTGTATGAAAGACTCCTAACATGCTTGTGGTATTGACTACTGTACATACCAAGATGTGTAGGTTTTTAATGTGCCTTCAGCAGGAAATTCCTTATTCCCTGGGGAATTTCCTGCTCAGTGTGTAGTTTTCATAATGTGCTAAAGTACATACAGAAGAGCTCTTACATACAAGGAAGCATACATAGCGACTAATATTGAAGAGCTCTTACATGTGACTGAAATGTTACTTCAAATATAGAAGAGCTTTTACTGAAGAAATACCTCAAATATACCGAGCTCTCGTTCAACCGAGGGTTTGACTGCATACTGTTGAAGTATATGCATGTAAAGGTCTTAGTTGGTCACAGGGGGCATTCCTTGCATGAGCAAGTAATGAGTAGGAATGACAGTAAATACATGTGTCTTTGACACAGAAAATTCCCTGTCGGAAGTGGTGGTGCTATGCCAACGCCTTCTGTTATCCTAGAAGGCCAACAGCAGTGCAGCCTTAGTTATAGTGTTTGTATGTGTCTTTAGCCTCAGGAATTGGGCCTTCCCTGTTACACATGCATGTGTGTATTATAATAGGAAAGAGATCACCCGTGTGCGTAGACCACAATGGTCACCTACTTTACCCACAGTGTGGCGTATGTACTAGAGAAATCACTCCTTTGTTTGATATCAACAATATTGAGTTCACGCGAGAAGGTGTTTCCACCAGCAGCACCACGTGAACTGTTGATACACTCAAGCATGATGTTGGGGGTGTTTCGAATACAAAACGGTGAGTTTGCATAACAATGAGATGGTGTCAGCTCCTGGGGTTTCTAGTATGTGAAGCTGTGTTGCCCACAAGCAATTCCCACAAAAGACAAGGTGGAATTGATTGTGTGTGTGCACATACGTACAAAAGCTACTTGGTGTTTACCAACGCTCCAAATGGAGTCAACTTTTGGAAAAAAATTTGTGCAAATCTAGGGTGATTGTAGCTCCTTCTCAGGTAAAATGTAAAATTCACTGTCATTGCAGTTTTTTTGTGGTTTCCAGAGTGCACACTACAATGTGTGGCATGGACTGTTGGGTGGGGGGTATTCCATACATTCACTATGATGTAACCGTTAATAGTAAAGTAGCTGGAATGTTTCTGCTAATAAGGAACTTTGGTGTAAAGGGAAAAACCCTGGGTCTTGCCTGATATATATTCCACTACCTCATAGGGGAGGAAGCTAACTTGAGAGAGTTCTCCGTAGAAACTGTATTAGATGCTGTTCTGCACCTGCAATTTTTATGAGCATTCCACGCAATTACGTAGCATGCATTGTTACTAGGCAGTGTCATGGTCTATGTGCTGATAGTTGCATTAGTGAGCTGAAGATAATCATATCTATATCATTTTAGCTGTCACAGGGCTCTCGCTCATGTCATTAGCTGTGTCCATGGCACCAGTTGATAACTACGCTGTGTGATATTGGCTCAGACAGCCAAACCAACTTGTCTCCTAGCTACAATGTAGTTATGTTTATTTCACTTACTTCTATATTATAACGACACATGCAGGTGATATTGCGGCATGCAGGTGATATTGCATCTGTGTAGCTACGTACTTTGTACCCCTTGCTTCGCTTCTAGTCACACGTCCCGGAGAACACACGGGTAGCTGCATTGTGCATAAACACGCTTTAATCCCAGGCCGAGTGCTTGTCTGTATACGTCACAATGTACATCATCAGAAAGTCAATTGTTAGTAACAACTTTCCTACGACTTGTAAAACATTTCCCATGTACGTAGTGGCAAAATGTGTTTTGTTGCGGCGCTTCCGAGCTGGTTCCTAGTAAATGTTGCAGAATCGTTGTACGTATGAAGGTACAATTAAGTTTATAATGCGTATACAAAGGAAAAGGCAGTGTAGTGCCCGACTGTGTTCCGTGCATAACCGTTTTAGCGGACGATTATGTACTGGACTGTGAGTAGTGTACCAAGTAGTGTACTAGGACAAGGTGCAGTCATGTAGCAATAATTAGTGTTTGCAAGCTTGCACAGCTGCTGAACTTTGTTGGGTGGTAATCTCTGGTAATGAAACCAATTATATATTCTTATTGGCTCACTAAGAACCACAGTACATGGTCATTTGCCGTTTTGTCAGACTCTGCCCCACACTTGATGATGTGATTCTAGACCATGTTAGGACTTGTATATACCTACATTGGAACTTGGCCTGAAGTAGTGGAATTGCAGCTTTGGCCGACACCATCCAGAATATGCCTCTCTACCTAAGGGATGTGTACATTCATGACATCACAGTGGAACTATCTAATGAGCCAAGGGCACCCCTGATATTAGGATACCTAATTCTCTATTGCACAACGTACATATTATGCCGTAACAACCATTTATGTATAACGTATGTACATACATCATAAGGAGTAGTCCATACGTAGTTAGATATGTGTGTTATCATTATTGATGTTCACGTTCAAAAACTGGGAGCTGTTTTCTTCCGTTTCTCGTTACATCTATTATTTCCTGAGTAAAGACTCATATAATATTTGGGTGTCCATGCATACCTGCTTGATGCACCAGTTGTCTGCATACCTCAGACTGCTTGTCTCTAAGTGCCAGTGGGAGTGTAGTGGTAATAGGTCTATAGTAGGGACTATGCTATATACTACCACTGCGTCCTGTGTGTCTGGACAATAAGATAAAGGTCAGCATGTGCTCTATCAGATTGTACAACAGCTGTTCATTTCCCACTTATTAACTTAACTTGTTCACTGTATTGGATGCATATTAGTAGAAAGATCTTTGTGGGCTTTTGTAGTATTATTTTATTTGTTATCTCACAGGTTTACTAATCACTTTGATTACCTCTCTGTATCATGTTCTCTAATGCCAATTTCACGGTTAACAGGATCTGAGACAGATTTTACGTTGAATTTTGCAAGCAGACATCAATTTGTGCTGTTTGGTATGGGCAATCCGCGAAAGATTTATCAGTGAAATTGTCACACATACGTAGCCATCGACTCAAATTTTCTGCTATATTATGTCATTGCATACATACCCAATGCAGTTACTCATATATTGTGACCTTAGGCCGCTGGCTGTACGATGTGTAAAGCTTCTGTTTATCTCTGATCGTGATGCAGGGGTAGCCTTGCATAGTTGTCTGCAAGCAGGGTCATTAACCTTTTGCTGAGCTGATGGCTTAATCTGGCCTCGTATACAACCAACATAATCATCGTAGTGACGCTTCATGACCTGTAGTTTCTCAGCTGTCATCCCTGCTGCATAAAATGGTTTCAGTTGCGGCACACCTGGAGGTCAATTTCCTGGAGTCTGCCACTGAGGTTTTGTTTAGCTGCCAAACAGAAATACCTGTAAGTGAGTGTGAAGTGCGAAGTATATATGTATACAGAGGAGTGATGTCCCTCACCTCTTCCTCCCACTCTCTGGATACTATACAAGTGCTTCACTTGGGGGCAGTGGAAAGCTCCCTTGTGTGGCTAAATCTAAACAAACACTCTAATTGCCTGTTTTTTAGAAACTGGGGAAGGGAAGAGGTTATTTTCATGCTTTGCGCTCCTTTATATACCTCTAAACTGTGAAGTATATACCATTCTGAAACATCTGCTTTCTTGGACTAATTAGTATTCCACTGGATATGTGGGGAGTGATTACTTTAGGAGACTTTTAAATTTCCCCATCCTGTAGACCAATAGTGCATACGTGTCATCATTGTTTCTGTCAAATTATGTGGGAGGTCCAGCTAGGGCCAAATTCCATTAAATGGTAGGAATCTCATGATTGAAACATGGTAGATATATATAATAATGGGATATCTTGTGAAATGTAGAAGAGGTGCATAATGATAGACACAAAATTTATGTTTTGATACACAAACCAACGCAGACACAAACGCACTGCACAAACTCACATAACATACACAAATTTGTTGCTAGTAGTCATCTTCTAATTCACTGTCGTCACTCTCGATTTTCATGCTCTGAAAGTTTTTGACCGCGAAAGAAGTCGTTCCTTTCATATTTAGGTCTCTCTGAGATCTCGAGCTCCTATCACCACCCTCCATGTCCTGATCCAGCAACTCCACTGACAGTCTCCTCATCTGGGAAATAGCCGAGGGCCTCAACTGGACTTGGTCCTTGCAAAAGTCTGCCTGAAAAACCATTGACCACGATTCTCTCTCCCTGTGATCGATCTCGGGGGCCTTCTTCTGCCGGGAGATCTTGCCAAAACTGCTCACCCTTCTTGCCCGGATCGGTCTGGCATGATGCCGTGGTGATTCGGCTCCTGGGGACTTTGAAATCCGAGCTCGTGATCTGTTGTCGATGGTGCTGTCTAGAGACGAGGAGAGGTCCATTGCCTCTATGGTGTCCGACTTTCTCTTGGATCTGAGAGCTGCCGACAGAGACGGGAGCGTTCTACTCTTGTTCTTCTTGTCTGTCAGAGTGGACGCGTCGTAAGGCTCCCTGGGTATCTCTTTCGCCGACGTGATCTGCTCCATCTTTGTGAGGCGACGGAGGGCGAGTTTCAGCTCCTTTCTGTCTTTGCACACGTTCAGCCCGTCCGTGTAGATCTTCTTGGCTTTCTCCCACTCGTTGGCGCAGCAGAGAGCGGCGCCCATCCGCAGGTAGAGCTTGGGATCCGCGGGCCGAAGTCGCACCGTCGCCTCTGAGTCCTTGTAGATCTGCATGAGTGAGCGCATGATCTTGTTGCAGCTTACGCTGCCGGGCGAGTGCCGCGGGCTCGTCTGCGTCATCCTCTCGGACACTTCCTGCCGCACCAGACCGCTCACCATTCCAATGGACGGGTCGTAGATGCAGTCCAGCTCCGTCTGGAGCTCTAGGGCGAGTGCCTGGTCGAACTGACGGGCGGCCGTTTGCAGGTCTCCCTTTGCGAACGCATCTCGTCCGACTCTGGCGGCGGAGATGTACATATCCAGAGTAGCGCGGACCGTCTCTGGAGTCGGGGAGGTCGTCGAGCTGAGGTCGTTCCCTATGGAGTCCTCGTTGCTCCCGCTGCTGCTGTACGAGCACGAGCTGCTCGCGATCGATCTTCGCTTGGACATCATGACAGACTACTGAGCTAGGAATCTAGCAATGGTAGTGGCTAATAATACTGAACTGGCACTAATTGACGCTAGGCTTTTGTAACGGTATTCGATGACGCTTGCGTATATATACCTACAAAATTTGGACAAAAATGGTAGTGTGGGGGCGGGGTCTGTGAGGAATTTGCTCCGCTCGCTCGAGCGCTGACCCTATCAAAACACCCAGCGCGGCGATGGCAGTGACGGCAGTCTTCCTCATCATCTGCACATTCACACTGATTACATGTTGTAAGCTCCTTGATCACTATAGTCTAGCTCTAAATAATTATGCCACTCTACAGGTTACTCCCAAGGACCAGCAGGAGGACGAGTGAATATACTCTCAGTGAATGAGAGTGTGGAGCTGTTCTGTATGACAGACTGGAAGGTTTTCCCTGTATTTTCAGCCAACCTTGACATCAACTTGAGGCCTCCTTGTCCCTCCTGCCACCCCAGCTACAACTACGTAATCCACGACAACCAGTTTATCGTACCCTCGACTGAGATAGTGACCTTCTTTACTTTTCTCCCAGAAAAACCGTTTGTGTATACCCAGGTTGTCTCCACGCCAAACTGTGAACCTCTGAGCATATACGAATCAATTCTCAGTCCCAGTTTGCTCTACCTGGATTGCAAGGATATCGAAAATGACGGAAACTATTTCCTTGCTCAATTGGAGCGGTTTCCTGGGAGAAGTGGAGACAATATTTGGATATTCAGTACACTGAGTGGGTTTGGTAGCTTGGAGCAGGCTGGGACCTATGTAGGGGTTATGGCCATTGACCTTGTCATGATGCTGTATGTACATGAAACCCAGGACTACATAGAGTTAAACGGTTTTCTCACGGGCTACATCGACATTCTAACCAAACCCTCAGAGTGCACTAATATAGTCAGAATATCAGCGACTGGAAACTCTGGCGATAGACTGCTCCTGGAGTGTTCGACCTCTGAAACAGAGCTGGTCTCAGTTATCCATATCTTGGACTCTGTGACTAGTAGCACACACCTACTAACAACGTCCCCCTACGAAATCTGCCCCATTAGATTCTCAGAGGATGGTTCGGTAGCGGCGATATTCACGGAATTCAACATCATTGTCATAGACTTGGTTTCTGAAAGCTACACGAATGTGACTGTCAATCAAAGCATTTACGATGGGGTCGTCTCTCAATCCACCAGTAGCAACACTTTCTACCTTGTGTACTCCACTATTGGTGGACTTCACAGGCTTCAGCTCTCTTTAACTACAACTAAAACCAAGAGGACAATACAAATTTGGAGCGAGTCCCTTTTTCCCAATACAGGTAGTATCTGTGCTAGGGAAGGATGCCCACTGTTGTATATGGTTAATCAGGATCTCGTTTTGGCAGCTGTTGACTCTAAAGTTGCCCTTCTCTCCATATCCGGTCTGGAGCGAGTCGCGATGGACATTCAGACTCAACATCCTCCCTTGCGATTCGTGTTCCAAACTGTGAATAATTCCGTGTGCGGACTCACTCCTAGCGTTTGCTCGTTATCGTCACTGGAGGTAACTATAGTTCCGTCGCTTGAAGCCAGAATCCCATTACAACATGGTAACGTTAAGGAGCAGGGTAACCCGATTAAACAAACTACTGCTGCTGCCATTGGTGTAGCAGCTACTATAGTCACTCTTATGGTGACAGTTATCCTTACAGCAATCCTTTTAGTAGCAGCTCGCAAAAAGAAATGGCTTTACTCTGGTGGAACAGCATTTACAAGGTGTATATACATTATCAATGTCACTGTAGCTAAACATTGTAATGTAATTGTATTCATGTCATGTGATGCATGACTTGCAAGTATCTATGTGTGGATAGCCTAATTCACAGTTATGTAGTTGTGGGTGTATATACATATACCCTTACTTGCAACTGTAACAATTCAATTAAGGGGAGGAAAATTACTATAATCATACTATTGTGAATTGATAATCGTACCACCCACAAAATTTTTTATTACAGAGATTCGTTTTCCATTTTTCAAGGTATAAGAGGTCGTCTGATCGAGTCGAACTCATCAGCTGTGGATTGGAATCTGCATCCGGTGAAAGTATGGATTCAGGCATGATCCAGCTCTCCCGTTGTAGCACTGATTCTTGCATTATTGATGATGATGAGTGTGCCACTGATGAGAGCAAATGTGAGCTATTGACAACGACAGAAGATGTGGAACCCTCAAAACCTAACGAAACCGTGACAGAAAACAAAGAGACTAACTTTGCCGAACAGAAAGACGGAGGGCTTTATCGTGCTACACTAGAGGTGGAAAGAGACAAGCACAATGAGACATCGATGTCTTCATGCGATCATCTGCAAATTCATGCACAAGAAGAACAGCACAATGATGCTGGGGGGAAATTGTTTGTTCATGGATATTATTTATCTCGACAGCATGCATACCTCTAAGAACATGTATAGCCACACTCTGATATGTATAAAAGCACCCCCTGATTCATCTGCCATCTCTACTATACCCTCCATGGTTCCTGATTTACACACACACGTGTACATTAATTATGATGTGGACACATGGACTATAAGGAATGCTGACTTAATATCACTGAATATGGTCATAAAATAAATAAGTTCTATAATCTCTGATACACAGTGAATCTGTACGTGATGCCGTTCTCTGTAAACTGCCCTTGAGGAACATCATCACAACTGTGGAGAGAGAACATAGCAACACTGTTAAAACCCTTTGGACGCCATGGGTATATATCTGCTTAAGAAAGCAGAAAATGATGTATAAAGTATTGGCGCCTAGTATTATAACCCGCCATATAAATTCTTATGGACTTATGGAGGCTGCCGACACATGTGTCCGTGGCTGGTTAAGTGTTAAGAGGGTGATCCACGTGCTTCAAAGTTGCAGATTTAGTGAAGCTGTCCCCTGGAGTACACCCTTTACTATTATCAGAGGTTTCACTGTAAATACGACTTACATGTGGTATACGAACTGATCAATGCCACTCACGTAATAGATGTGAAGAGGGTGTGGTCAATGTGAGGGTGATAAATATCGGCAGGGAATACTCCGTCCAGCACAGTTACATACAGTCGATCACACATCTCGTGTCGCATTGCCTCCTGCCCAGGTGAAGATAAAAAATTTTTCCGGATAAACACCCCTTGACCACTCATAACAATAGCAACTGTAATTCTGTGTTGAATAGTATCAGATCCTTGAATATATATATAGCAGGCTCCACAAAACTTGGGAGTTTACAGTTTAGTGCCTAAAAACAAAAACTTGGAGGTTTGTGTCCACGGTTTATTAGACCCACTGGTGACTTTTTATAAGCCCTGACATTCCCAACATGCCGTTTATAGTTCGTTGCTACAAACTACCCTTGTTGTTGTTTAGTGTATATGTAAGTGTTGCCACAGATAGACTTGTTGTCTCTAATACCTGTGAGCTGGTTTTTGTTATACATTAACAGGACAGGAGCACACTTGCTAGTGGCGCTTTACACTGCCTGTAATTTAGCCAGAAAACATTGGTGTCTACATGTCCAGTTTTTATTAACACTTAACAAGCCATGACACATTATGTGTCTAGAGCCTCCATAACAATTTATATGAGGGTTACAATACTATAGGCGCTAATACTTCATAAGATATACCAAAGGGTTTTAAGCCCGAAAATCACTGCACACTAGGCTATTAGTACCTCGTAGAGTCTTCTGCCACCCAGAATAAAGACCTGTTGTATGTGGTGAGAGAGGGGAGGAGTCTGGAGTCTGTCCAGAGCTCCCTGTAGGGAGGTGCACACCAGGTCTGCTCCTGGTGGAATATCACCACTGTGTGACAGACAGACAGACAGACAGACAGACAAGGCAGGTATGAAGAGCAGAGTGTGGCGAGAAAGTATGATTGGCAGTATAGTTCCACTACTCTCACTCTCACATTACACTGGCTACAAAATGTGTCGTGTTCAGTATATACATAGAGGCTTTCCCATAATATAGTCGGGAGGATATATTATATACAACTTACGGTGGTTTGCTGGTGAGGACTACATTGAATCTGTTGGCATATTTCCTTCCCTCCTCTCTGATGAGAAACTCCCAAGTCCTTTGGCCGAATATCACTGCATTCTGCAGACCTAATAAAAGCACAATTTTCACATTTATATAGTAGCGTAAGAAACATGCATGTGAAATGACAACAAGTATAAATGTGGGATATGTACAAAGACTGATGTGAGTTGGACAAAAAATTTGCTAGCTGCAACATAATATGCTTTGTCACAAACAAATTCGGTACCTTGCGTCTTCGTTTCTGTGGTGATTCTCTGCAAGAATTCGTAGTCTTTTCTGTGGCATGGAAAACGCCATGGTCGATTACGCATGCGCGTAATGCAAGTCGCGGGGGCGTGGCGCTTATATAGCCTACGCGATGGATGTCGGAGGTTATAACTCCATACTCACTTCATGAAGGGCCACGGCATCCCGCCTCTGTAGCCAATCCCCATCTCTCCGTCCATAGCTACTACTGTACGAATACTTAGCCTTCTTGGCTTGTCGCCAGCCTCCATTAGTGACCCCCACACGCGTCACTGGGCACACGCCAGCACTATTTTTGGTCGAGTCGCAGAACGTCATGCTACGTGTGTACGATATGAATACACGTACGTGTGTGCATCTCGTGACAATCCATGACGACAGCACATTATTCCGCCACAATAAGAATATTATATGACACAGCCGTTCTCTCGTACACCTTGAACCTGAACTTCACTCCATTTTCTTCCAGAATTCCTTTAGGGACACTTGGATCTCTGCAATATATTATAGTAAGATAAAACTGTCCTGAAGTATTGAGTCTAGTACCAGAGCGAATGTTATCGGCAGCTAGATGAAACCCCCTCTCTAAGGACACCCGCAAAATGTCTCTTTTGAAAGTTTCTTGCAGGAAATTCCACCCTGAAATAAGGCCACCTAACATGGGCACTAAATTCTGTCACACTGATGACCAAGTTAGAGGTGTTCCACTGCAGTACACGCACACCGAGCTGACTAAGAGGGTAGTGGACTCACTCTATCTCACTGAATACAGTGGTATCAATTTTGGGGAAGAAGACGTCTGCAGGGAACACTGCCAGTATTTCAGTCGTGTAGATCCTGTCACACAGAGATCTGCCTAATACCTCCTTTAGAGAGTGAGAGAGAGAGAGAGGGGGGGAGAGGGGTATGCAGGGGTAACGCTAAAGGCGTGCAGAAATTAAGAGCAGTTTTGAATGAGGTGCTGTCGGTGTAAATGAATCAACAGCTAGTAGTGTTCTGTTCTCATGAATGGTTGTCGATGATAAAGTGACTAAGGTTATGCAATGTAAAATTAATGTTGCTAAATATAGCTACCCTTAACAAACAGCCAGTATATTAGCCTGTTGCATGCTAAAACGGGTGATAAAACCAATAATGAGGAAGTAACAAAACTACTCATAATTATTATTATACATTTAGAGAACTGTAATCATTTATAACAAAATGCTGCATCGTGCCTGTTTATTTATTTAGCCAAATTTCGGGGACTTACAGAGTAAACAGAAGATCCTCCAAAAGCAAAGACAGTCTCAATATCATCAGAGAGGGGCGGAGTTTCAAGGTTGCTAATGGCAACAGACAGTGAGGGACACACCATGTGTGCTCCAGGTATCTCAGAGCTGTGGGGATCGAAGAAAACGGACAGACTGACGACAAACACTACTTCCTCACACAGATTATGAGTGGATTTGCGGAAGTTTGCAAATTCTTGTGGAAATAACATGTGTCCTCATTTTTTTAGGGGTGTCCTTAGAGAGGGGTCTCATGCGATAGGGAAAGAACAGACACTCTCACCTGGGCTTGGTAGAAAGGACAATGTTGAATCTGTTCTTGAGAGGTCTGTTCTTCGCTGGAATAGACTCCCATGTCTTCCTGCCCATTACCACTGCATTCTGCTTGGCTACAGGAAATCAAAAACGACTCCATTGCGACTACTAAATACAGAGGTAAGGGGAAAAGCCAACATGCAAATTAGCAACGGCTTACTAACTTCGATAGTATCACCTATCGGCCCATATGAATGACTTTATAACGTACTGCTATCCATGGTATCTGTCGTCTTTTTTGCCATAAATTTCATGTCAGTCCTGCACATACAAATACACGGGGTTGGAAACAATGCACACGAAAATTTACATGGGTCTCTCTACCCTATTCTAGGCCACGGGAGAGTTCCCTCGTAGCCGATCCCCTGGTTTTGAGCTACAGCCACGATCAGGTGCAGTCTCAACTTTCCCGCCATACCCAGCTGCGCCTCTTCCCCATTTACTGCGCACCACACACGTGTAATGGTTCAAAGGTGAGCTGCTTGGTTCCTCTCATGGCGGGCAGATTTGGCGGCCTTCTGGCGGTTGCTACGAGAGGAGGCGGAGGAAAGATAGATAAATGGGGCCAGCCGTTACGTGTCATAGCTATGGATTACGTTGAAGTGACAAAAGACGTGTACCAAGGGGTCAAAACCAAGCCGATAAAATCCCTCGTTTATGCTCTCGTGGGGAGCTCTTTCCTGGTCACGTGGAGGACTAAACCCGACGCCGATAGCTATACGGACCGCTTACTGGAGCACTGCAACGAATTCCATCTCTGCAGCCAGTCAGTCAGGAACAAAGAGACCGCCAAGTACCTCGAGAATATAGTCGCAAAACTCTCCGTTCAAGAACTGGAATACAAGAATTTTGGGTTCTTTGGGGTGATGATGGAGAGAGATGGTACCCCTGTGTGTCACAATTATCACATGACTTGCAAGTATGTACGAAAGAGGTGGTGGGACAGATGGAGACGTGTGGTGGATGTTGGCTTCTGGGGCAAGTGGTGGGCTCTAGATAGAGCAATGGCTGATTACGACGTAAACGAAGAGGAACTGGCGAATTGGTTAGAACAACAGAAAAAGTTTTAAGTTTTATTTTGTATACTGTCCTTATAATTATTTGTGTGCACAATATTCAATGGAAGATGAAAAATTTAGAAAATTGAGGATGACATGATATTATTGAAGGCTGATCACATGACAGAACAGAAGCGACTTCTGCCTCGTTTGATCTCTCCATCCTCGTCTGTGGAACCACTACTGGGGCTTACTTGAGATGACCCCAACAGTTGCTGTGTGTGAAAATCAACAAAATGCTGCAGTGCAATACCATTCTACATATTTACTACTGCTGCTTAGCTGTACATTAGTTCTACGTAAGATTTGACCATTATGCACATAACTGAGGGGAAATTATGTTATTGCATAATGTATGGTGTACAACATAATACTGCACGACTTACTGCACTGCGTCGTCTCTGTTGTCTGCCAGCTGTTGAAGATCTCTCCTACAACAGAAAAAGTTGCTTTTTAAACTGGATTATAGGAATTCCAAGTCACTTTGCTCGCAATAACTAAGTTTGTCTTATCGGTTAGGCTACAAGGCTGTTCCAACAATGATACATTGAGCCAGTGTAATGATTACTTGCCTGCTGTATCCCCAGCAGTCTCTGGTTCAACTCTTTCATGGCATTCTCATTGGACTCAATCTGAGTCTGTTGCTGTGGGAATATACAAGCATTGATAGAAGTTAGGTCATAGCAAAACTAGCTAGTTGAGAATGAGGTAGAAACAGAGTTAGACAATTACATGAGTCAAGTGGATGATTTTATCTGGACTTTGACTTACCCTCTCGAGTTGTGATTCCAGTCTCTGTATGTGAGCATTCATCTCCTGCTCTCTCTCATGAGACTCCTTCAGCTGCTGCTCTACCGCTGGCCCCACCTCCTCCTCAACTTCCTGTTGGACAATAGCAGTATCATGTGACCAGCATGTGAAAGTCATGTGACCATCTGAAAACTTGAGTTTCAGCAAGAGCAACAACAATAGTGTTGTATATAGGACGATGCAAAGGCACAACAAACAAGTCAACTACACCCAGGACAGCTCTTTTTTCCAGGGAAAAAAGAAGGAGCTGCCCTGGGTGGGATTCGAACCCATGACACTCTGCAGTCTTGGCACACTCTGCAGTCTAGGCAAGTGCTGTACCAACTGAGCTCCCAGGGCAACTCATTACCTTGCTCTGAGCTTTTCTGTGCAGATTTCTGAAGGGGGACAAAAACAATAGAGTCAACACTAGAAAATATAACATGCACCACTGGTCACCTTTCAGAGACACTGATATTCTTGACATTGGAAGGAGAGCGAGATTTGGCCTGAGCAGGTTGCTTGGAACCTGGACGAGCAATCCGTGGTACCGGCTCCTGCATGGGACGGGAATCATGAGCAGGTCACATCATAGCCCTCTTTCCTAGACCCTTCAGTCCTTCACCAAACACATGTGTTGGCTCTTTAGTTATGCACATCGAAAACAGCTATATCCATAGACTATGCTACAACAGCAAATGCAGTGAAACACAAAACCGTGATTCCGGTCTCTGTAGCCAGAGTGCTTATCATCCATAGTGTATTGTTGGTTGTGCATGTGCTCACAGCATATGGCGAGGATTCCACGAGGGAGCGGTGCTTTCCTGATGGTTTGGTCTTAGGGCTCCCCGGCGATGGCTTGTCATCTGCGTTTCCCTGACGATTAACCCCTGGCCTACCACCACTACTGACCTCTGGTGGCAGGGTCGGTAAACCCTTCTCTCCTCTCGCTGACGGAAGTCTGATTTTATCACCTGTTGGGAGAGATGGTCTTTGCTCTTTCGGCTTCCCCCCTTCCTCTACTCCCCCTTTCCCTCTGCCCCCTGCATTACCTAATCTTCTCGACCCAGGAACACCTGAATGAATTTTCGGACCCCCCAGCCCCCCGGCCCCCCTCCCAGGAGCAGCTGTGCTGGCACGCAGGCCATGTCTTGCCTCTCTGGTCACATCGCCACTGCTAGACACACGTTTCACATTCAACGGGTTCTTTCTCTCTCCTCCAGTGATGCTGCTAGTGGAAGCAGCTGGTTGAATTAGTTTAGGTGTCAGTTGTCTCTGAGGCTGTCTATGAGACTGGTTAGGTTCAGCTTTACTCTCCTGGTGCAGTTTATTTTGTGCGCTGGTAGAAATGTTCTTTGTGGCTTGTGAAGGACCTTTTCTGGGTCTTTATTGTGTCTTGATTGGGGGATATAACCCCCGTGATTTCTTGTTTAACCCTTCCAGCTCCACTCTCGAGAAGTGTTTGAGAAGCGCTCTTTATCCGCGGACTGTTTCTCCATGCTTCATTTCTTGTTTGAGTATTCTTGGCGGCGTTTTCAGGAGCCTCATTCGTCCCAGTCTGTTTTACGCCATCTTGGTGAGTCCCGTCTCTCTCATTCTCTCTCTTTGCCTCTTCATAAACTTCCCTGATCCACGTCTCTACCTAAAAAAAGCCAGTGTCTATTTAAACCCAGATAGTAGATCAACTATAATGGCTTACTACCGGTGGAAATTTAAAGAACTTGCTAAATCCGATAAAACAAAATTAATGTGCAATACCAAATTGCCGTAGTGTGTTTTATGCAATGTCCAGGAACCAGAGACCCACTGTGGGCCCTGAGCTATGCAAGTATTCAATCAACGTAGAGCAGATGGAAATGAGAAGTGTTTTATTACCATTGAATCGCCAGCAGTGGATTCCGCAGGGTTAACATTGGGAGGGCGAGCAGGGAGGAAGATGGGGGGATGGAGGGGAGGTGGGAGGGAGGAGTGGAGGGAGGGTGGAGGTTGGAATGGAGATACCCTCCTGCAAGGAGGAATCAAATTAACTGAGTCCTATATACACCCAGTAATAGGCAGTGCATAATGATTAAAAACTGTTGGAGTCTGAGTCGTGCAGACTGTGAAAGCAAGTGTAGTGCTTGAGTAAGGTGAGCCTGAGCGTTTCTCGTGAGAGCTGGACAGAGTATATACCGCGTGATCTCTTCTTTTTTACAAAACCAGCTCTATCAGGTATAACTAAACTACCAGGGAGGTATCTCTGTACTAGGCCACACACTTGGTAAGGGTACAGAAAAATCGAAAATGAGTACAGATAATAAGCAGTAAGAGTAATCACTATACAATACTTTCTTTTATAAGTGGCATAATTTCAGGCAGACCGTTCTACACGCATGTTCTGACCTCAACTGTGCTCTCTGAGTTATTCGTCTCCCAATCTTGAAGGTGGGAAGCTCTCTCGATGAGTTCTCCACTCCTTTCTTTCCCTCCCCCCTCTCCCCCTCTCCTCTGGTTCCCATGACAACCTGGGCCTGGATGAGGACCAGGACGTTGCTCCCATAGCAACTGAGCCCCTCTAATTTAGCCTCAGTTATTCCTTCCACTGACAGCAAGTTCAGAATCCCTGAGAAACAAGGGCAACATAGAGATTGTACACAACACCGCAATGTGATTGCTCATGGCATGAAAATTTACAAAGGGATTAACCAACCATGCAAGCAACAACAATATTGCTCACTTCTGAGTTTCACTCCATGTGTAAGAGGGTAACCTTAGAGTATCGAGGTTTGCTAGCTCCACAAACAGTCTTTTGGTGGGAAAAATTTTTTTGACTGAATTACGAAACTTGCCCTCTTCCATTAATTGTTTTGCGGTAGTTCCGTAGCCATTCGACAAAAGAGTGTAGCTATATGTGCAGAGTAGTTCACCTGATCTTCCCACTAGGTCCATGGAGGTAGGTTGCATGATGATGGAGCCTTCTCTCCCGCTGCTAATAGTGTGGATACTGGAGCTACTGGTGACCCTGCGGTTCTGGCTGGATACTACCTGGGTCCCTGAGAGTAGTACGATGGGAGGAAAGAGTTTCGTTCACGCATGAAAAAAAACTAGATTTAGAATACAGTGGAAGTTTTGTAAGCTGGAAACCCAGTGGGAAAGAAGAAGTGCCCATATTAGTGAGGGGGTACACATAATTATACATGTACGTATACATGTTCTAGAATGCAACAACTGTCTTTGGGAAAGAAAGGGTGTCCTTGTTTCCTTCTTAATGGGTGTCCTAGAGAGGGGTTCCACTATAATTATAAGACTAGGGTGAAAGGAACTCTCTGTCATTTTATTCAAGGAAAACCCGAGAGTACAGATAAGAGTTAACTTTATCTGGAAGTGTATAAGCTCAGCAAACCTGAAGTGGACTCTCTCTTTAGAGAATGAGTTTTCCATACTCCTCCACCCCCACCTCCCCTCACAGCAGTCAGGGATGTGTCCAGTATCACTGCGAGCACCTCATTCAGCGTCCCATGATAATGTTCACACTCAGAGCAAGCCACAAGGTTATGTGGAACATCTGTAAAGTCAAAACTTGGATTTCGACTGCTGTTCCAAATCATCTTTGGCAGGGATCCAATTGAATCTCGTGATGTCGTTCTTTGGGGTGAACCCTTTGTAACAAGGTCGTTTGACGACTTCTTCCTATTTTCAAGGGACCCTCCCTCTGCTGATGATGATGAGGGGGCGTTATTCAGTGAGGGGTCTGAAACTTTGGAAGGCGAGGGGTCGGATTTTGGAGCTAGTGAGGGAACACGTTTCGTGTTTGGGGTCCCTGGGCCTGAGTTTGAGTCATCGATGAACACAGTCTCGGGATTGTCTCCACTGGTAGACCTGTGTGGGGGTCAGATAAACCTCTGAATAAGGGACACCTTTTGGGGCCCCAAAAGGCGGTCTTTACGAAATTCCAAAGAAGGACCCTATGACTAAAGGACCTCTCTATATAGGAACTTGGCTCTGATACATTCAAGTGTTACTACCTCTGAATAATGGACACCTGTGAGTAAGGGACACTATCGATCTCCCCCTTATTCAGATATTCCACCGGAGCCATGTATTGGGCAGAACCAAGTGCCCTCTATTTGTATAATACTCGGATGGTCCATTATCAGATGTTTTACTGTATGTTGTGGGTTTACTGCTGGTAACCTGTGTGGAGAGAGTGGTGTCTTTGTTGATGTGAAGCTCTGCTCGAGTATTTCTGTCAGTGGAGATTTGATGACAGGTCGAGAGCCCCAGATGAGGAATGAGTTGTCTGCTGTCGTGACTATCGAACACAGCTCACTGGAGGTCACCATCTGTACATGTGGGATGGCAAGCATAACATGGCACACGTAATGGTTATCGAAAATATGTTGGATGTACCAATATGTGGGACACTAATTCTAAAGATGCACTCCATACTTGACGCAGAATGAAAAATGATAGTGTTTGTGTTTATACCACATATTAACAGCGGCACAAGTGTTGCATTCATTACAGTTTGTAAAAATTATACCAAATTGCAAGCTCTATAACGACTCACAGTGGGTGTTGTGTGGTGGTGTCTGACTGGGACAGGGATGTTCTGTGGCAGTGTGTTCCCCGAACACAACTGACCCTCTAAATTACGACCAAATGTGAACACCTGCAAAAATCGAGTTCATTTTTAACACTTAACCAGCCGCGGACACATAAA